GATTGATCTTTGAATTCGATCTTCAATGGGAAATGGATTTGAAAAAAACTTTGAATGGAAGACGATGATGAAAATCGTCTGAATTGGCTGTACGCACCAACATATCCCTACTTCAATGATGACTTACCACTTATCGAATTCAACTGCTTTATGATGTGTGGCACGCGAATGAAAGTAAATGCATACCACATTGACTCTCTGCTGATATCATTCTCGTTGCTCACATTGTGCAGTGAAATCAGTGCCGATCGAATCAATTCGCTATACACACGCCACATGGGATAGTTTTTCAGCTGTTGAATCATTTGTAAATGTGATGCGTAATTATTTGTGCTGCAATTTGGATGCAAGAGTACATTGACCGCAATATATGGTTGTAAACAGTATGTTATCGTCTCAATGTCTTCAACAAGCAGTGAATTATTTTGCACAAGCACTTCACCGTCCAGTTTCACTAAAATCAATTTCATGAGCAGTGTTTCGATCGGTTTAGCGTTCGTCAATGCCGCACATTTTTGATTGTTCATATTATTTTTTATGATAATCGATTTTTCTTGCAATTTCTTGAATAATTCAACGTTATCTCGCTTTGCAACAAAAATATTTGCCACTATGAATTGATTGGCCACAATTTTATCGAGTAATTTCTTGAGAATATTTAAAATTTGCTGGTGTTGCGTTGAGGTGAAATCGCTGGAGAATTGTGCTTCCAAAACAGTAGAAAATACTTGTGTCAACCAGTACAACAGATCAAATAGAGCACCCGGTAAGCTGGTTTCCTCTTTTATCGTTCTGAAAATTTGATAAAATGTATACACACGTGTTACATTCATGTAATAAATCAATTGGAATCAAATGAATGTTCTTTAGAACATGTGGTGCGATTTTTGCCTACCGACAGGTCACTCCATTCATGATCGAATCAACGAAATCCAACAGAGCAATCAAACAATATGGTCGATCAAAGCCGTCAAATTTGGCGATTCGCATGATGACCGACGAATGAGAAATTTGCCGTGAACATAACGAGTGACGAAGATATGATAGAACCAATTTATTGGCATCGGAACCGATAACCGCCTGCTGGATAATATTGTCGGCCAAGTCGAATGCATCGCCCGATACACCCTTCGGTAGCACCTGAGAAGATCAAGTTTTTTTGTTGTTGGTATTATTTTGGCTGGTTTATGGCCTTTCTTGAGCAACGGTCAATTTGTGATAGCTTACCGATTTAATGTATGTACCCCATTGAAAATTATCCCATCGTTCTCGCCACGCTCGTAATAGTGTTGTGTTGATTAAACTCGATTTATTCGCATTGTCCAAAGCCATTGTGGATGATGAACTTCTTATGCTAGGCATTCCGGTGTTGATATACCGTCTAACAAATAGAGTTGAATAACTCCCCGACAAACAAACCACAAACTCTCTCTACGAAACGAATGTGTGTGTGTGTGGGAAAATCTTCAAAAAACTGACATCAAACACAAAAAATAGCAAACACTATTTGAACTTTGATTTATCATCACTGTAATAATAATGCTGGAAACAAATTTGTATCGTTCACCCGGCAGTGCTCAAATACGTCGCAAAACAAGATTTGCATCGCTTTGACAGGTTTGAAAGCTAAATGTTGTTATAATGAATTTTCCATTATGGCTGGTGCTCTTAAACATACACTGTCAAGAATGCATCCTCAACTTAGTACAACACTTTTCGGTTGTTTAGTACACACACGGTGAACTGTCAATGCTCGTTTGAGTGTCCCTTTGTTTGTGTGTTTCAGTGAGCTGATCATTTGTTGTTCAATGAGCCGATGGAATAAAAATTCGATTATGCATCCAACTGTAAAGCGGGAGGTATGAGATAGCCTACTTATAAAAATGTGAGCAGTGACGCGTACACGGAATTGGCTGGCGTTTGGAACAGTGCGACAGCTGTCAATTTGAAATTTGATAAAAGAGAAGAAGACCGATAGAGAGAAAGAAGAGGAGAGAAACAAACAAAAAAAAACACAGTGCAGCGTTTGAACTGCCGTGAAGTTGGTCCTTTGATACGAATAATTTCATTCCCTGTACATACACACATAGAGAGGCAGTGTGTTAAATATTGAGGCATCGTATGTACTCTTCCACATTGTAACATTGTATTAACCGAGTAGTCGTCAAGTGGAAAAAGGCAATTAGAAAACAGAACCGATATACCGTGCAAATCGTTTACATACAAACAACACACGAAACATTTTTCGACACTCAGAGGGACAGTGATTGAAAATTCGAAAGAACGTTTCCACACTTCAACCATGCCACAGTGTGATTGCCAAACAGTTTTAATTTTGTGATACATATATGTATATAGACTTTTACGTACATGTGCTAGTGAATTTTCCTGACAGAACAAAAAAAAAAGAATTACTGACCTGATAAAAGTGACCGATTCGTTTGTACGATTTTCAAAAAGGGATTTCGATATCCGAACAAAAGTAGAAATGTTCATTTTGGTGTAGTGAAAAATTCATACATATATAAGATTTAAAATAAAAACAGCACACAGAGAAAGAGATGATCTGTGCTGTCAAAAGAATATCATTATTTTTCTCTCTTTTGTTTTTGTTTTGGTTATAATTTCTTTGATGTTTTGTTTTTGTCGTTGATTTTTCTCGGGATTTCCCTTCGATTTTTTATTTCGCGTGTGTACCCGTTTTGGAACCGAAAGTGAACGAGAACAATAGAAAAAAAAATTCGCCAGCATTAAATTGCATTTGATCAAAAACGAAAATTAGTTTAAATAAAACGAAAAGAAAACAATAAACGGAATTTATTCATTGAAAAAAAAAAACACGAAAGTGCAGTTCATTATTTTGTTCATTCGCCTCTCGTGCGTGTGTGTTTATTTTTCGCTTTTCTCGTTAAGCATCTTTAATTGTTTTCTTGTGATTACAAAGTGTATTTGCATACAAACACTGCTGTGGTGCAGTGTGTATGTATGTGTTTGGGATAGAGTGAAGCAGGAAAATTGACCATTCGTCATCAACGAATTTCGTTTTGTTGTTTTCAAAATGTGAGTTCTATATTCCATTCTGTCGTTCATTAGTATTTTAGATAAAGTCATGCTACACACAAACAGACGAACTTTAAACCATTTTATTCTCTAAATTGTCTACTATTACCACAATCGAACTAACCTATTGTTGTGAACCATGAAATACTTCAAATGTTTTGTTAAAAAAAAAAGCATTTTCTTTTCAACACTTGCATTCGTTTATCATTCGTGCATTCATTTCAAATGCGTTCTTATCTCCCCGACCGCGAATCTTCAACGAAAATGATAAAATTCCATAATGAAATTCGTATTGTGATTGCAAAATTAATCAATTGTATCGTCATTACTTTTGTTACTATTATGAAAAGAGTGTACATCCATAAATCAAGACCGAAAAAAAAAATTGGGCGTTGATATGCAAGGACGCAAATATATTCGCACACATCTGATTTCATTATCAAAATAAGTAAATGAAACGAAGAAAGAGAAACACAAACCTATTGTCAATAAAATCTCATTGTTGTACAATTATCATTCGTCGCGTTACATTTGGCTGTAAGCATTGACTTTATTCGAGGCATATTACGGTTTTTTTCTTTCTTCTGTTGTTTTTTTATTCGTCTGTCTTTCGCACGTGGTCATGCTCATATCGAACGAAATGTGAATTGAATTCGCACGTTATGTACAACATCGGTGGTTTAGTTACACAGTTATTTTTTTTGTGTATTTCAGCATTGGCCCCAATGCTCCGTTTTAGTTCGTTTGTGGTTTGTTATCGCTTCCAAATGCCTGTGCTACAAAATCGAAAAACCCGGTGTTCAAAGCTTTTTTTTTGTACGCACAATTTAATTAGCCACTTTGACACATGACTTTAAGCGATAAGCTTCGTAAAATACAACCTTTATCTAACGTGTGCTGAATTCTGTGTGAGATACAACACGGGTACATACATTTTGGTAGGTGTAATCGTGTAATCATCAATTTATTGATTACTTTATGGTCGATGTTTTGCCACTATTGATAATAACATGTATCCGTGCAGCCGTCGATCGGCAACACATCATCGTTTTCTCCGAAAAATGTGATATGTGTCTGCGTGTGTTGTTTTTTTTTCTCTCGTCTGAACTGAAATTGCCGCTCTGTTTGTTTCATTGCCCGGTTCAAATGATTCGATGAAAAAAAAAATGAAAGAAAAGACAACCGAACAAGTAAGCAAACGAACATAATAATTTCTTGGAAATTTAATGTTTGATTTTTGTTTTTGTTAATTGTATAATTTGATTTGTATGCACGTCACAACCGATTCCATTTATTGATGTTGTATTTGAAAATGGACAGAAAAAAACAGAAAAACATACACAGAGAGAAAGAGAGAGAGAGAGAGAGATAACGAAATGGGCATTCAATGACTGAAACCATTGTTAAAACGAAATTATGCAACGCAATCAATCGTGGAATAACATTTATTATTCATCGCAACTCGTCAATTATTTTCGCCGATCCAAGCATATAAATTGTAGATAAAGCGGTCTTCTTAGCGATGCAAAATAGATACGATACGCTTTTTTTCAATGCCCGGTCGCTGTTTTACGTGACACATCGCGTTTATGGTTCGCCTCATGGAGTTACCAATTAGTCACACGAATGTTAAGTATGACCGTGGTCTAGGTTAATAAATGACCGTTATCGGCACAGGAACAGCAAAAAATAATAACCAAACAACCGATCAAGAATTCGACTCACGTGAAATTCAACTCAAAGATTACGACGGTAAACTTTGCCTCATCAATTTTTTTTGTAGACTTTCACTTTTGGATGTGTGTGTTTGTCTCGATTGCAATTGTTTCTCTAGAAATGTACTCAATGTTTGCTATCTGCATAACAACAACAATATAGCAACAACGAAGACTTCTTGGCTTACCGATTTTGGGCCAATCTAAAGTTCATAGAATATTAATAACCGTTTCGAGTTTATGGCCATATGCCTTTTACCTGCATGCGACCGATGCCAAGACAATAGTATCAACCATCCGAACAGCTCATACACAAATGTGGTATGCCAACTGCATAATGAGGCAAATAATTTAGCAGACACACAACACACACATACATTTCATTTTCTGTAAATGTTTTTCTTTTCTGATTGTAATATGCGAGAAACGAGAGAACGAGAATATGTAGATAGTACCTAGCAAAGGTCCCATACAAACGCTACAAATTGAACTGATAGAATGAAGCCAAGTGTATGAGGGAACAGTGATTGTAACAAAGGATATGGAATAAGACAAAAAAAAACAATATGCATACAACGACGATGACGACGACGACGACGACAAGAACACAGAATTGTTCATCAATTAATATGCATCACCGCTTCGTATAGGCCACATTTCAAGATGCGCAGTTGAATCTCGGCACTCAGTCACAAATCATTTCACGTACTATATGTCTATACACAGTTGATATATCAATAATATTTTATTTGGAGTGTTATTGTAGATACATTGTCGATAAAAAAAGAATAAGTATGTGGTATGAAAAGCCTCGACTTAGGGAAAAGACCGACCACTCTCTTGAAACTGTTTGTTTATTTGACTTTTTGTTGTCGTTATATTATTCATTTATGATTTGATATGTGCCGAGAGTGGCTTTCAAAATGGAAAACAATGAAGAAAAACATTCACCCGGTCTCGATTTGCGGTTGCATTTACTGGAATCGAATGAAATTCCATATGATTTCAATTAGTCAGCAGTTAAATGCCTCTGTGTGCACATTACACAAATCATTGATTTGATTTTTCATTTTATTTCCTTTTTGCTTTTCGTCATTTGCCGCTTGTGTGTGTATGTTTGTATGTTCGGGCGTACTTCTTTTGCATTTTTCGTCTGAACTCACTATCTCATCTATTTACAGTTTGTTTGTGCATGCATCTATACTGTGTTGAAATAGTCGGTTTGCGTGCCCTACACTGTAAAATTTTAATTAAAATGTTTTGAATGAATAAAACGAGTTAAATACGTTAATTGTCGCTTAACAGCGCGGACTGAGACTCACACAAATAGAGAGAGTGAAAACGGTTTGTGTTCTATCTTCAATGTGATATTTGCAGTTGATAAGTGTTTTTAAAAAAAAGAAGCGAGCACAAACACTCACAATAGAGAAATCTGGTTTGCTATTCGTCATTTACAATCGGTGAAACCCACGATTGACATTTGTGGAAGCAGCGACCGATTTTGGTTGAGAGGGAATTTTAAGGAAATGAGATATTTATGACCGCAAATTTCATGTTATTTTTTATTGTTTTTTTTTCTCTCTCTCTCTCTTTCAAGCGCTGCTTCGGTGCATTGACCTCCCGAAAAAAAGTGTGATCGTTCCGTTCGAATGTTGCCAATAACAGAGATTATTTGCCGTCACGAACTTTGTTCGACCCCATGGTTTTCGTTGGGAATGCAGTGACTCGTGTCGCTCAAACTAAAATCAATCAATTTCCAAAAAACCGAATGATATCGTGTTTGTTTGGTCGAACATTGATTTGTATGGTTGATTTTGGCCATTTCTAAGTAACCCGACCATTGAAATTATTCCATTTTTATGTGTGTGTCATCAAACAGTACACAAATTCAACGTGACTAACAAATTGAACAAACAAATAAATATCACTGAATCTTGGAACCGATTCAATCCGATCCATACACAGTACAAACAATGAGGTCAAAACTCAATAAGTAACCAATTTTGAAATGCCAGAAAAAAGACACAAGAATAGAATTCTTTTGAAAAGACAATAATTAAAATCCATTCATATATCGCTTGTCAGCCACATCACAGACCTAAATATATACGTTTGCTGCTGGCATTTGCTTGTGAGTCATTGCATTTATATATATAAAAATATGTGTAAAAATGTCGGGTTTTTTCTCGCTCCCGCTTTGTTGTTGTGAAAGTACTTTGATAGCACACGCGGCAAGCATTTTATCCAGCTGGACTTTGTAATGAAATTCAAAATAATGCAATCAAATGATTTCGCATCAATTTTAAACATTAACATAAAATGCATGCAATTTTTCGTTGTTGTTTTATGATCAAGGTGAATTAATCGATTCGAATGGAAGCTTGGTGTACAGTTGCAATATACTTTATTTCACACCATTCAATTTAATCAATTTCTGTTTAGTTATGTATTTTTATTTTCCGCAGCCACACTTGCAATGGTAGTATATTTCGAATTCCACCACAATTTATTTTAATTGACTTAAATATAGGCCATTTTAGACGGTCGTTTCAACACATTGCGTATGCAATAACACGCAAATAAAATGTCTCAAAATCACCCCAATTAAAGTTCTCCACCGCCGAGAACAAATGCAAAACAATAATTTTAATTAATCACACCATGAAGATGGAGCGAATCAATTTCAAACCAAATAAAACCGATACAAAACTATTTAAATGCACTCTCTATCGTGTTCTGCGAAGTATTTTTCTTTCTTTCTCGTTCTCTATTTTTTCTTCCTTTCCTTCGTTTTCGCAGATTTAAATTCGTAGAAATTTACGACTTTTATTCGGCTGCATTTTACGAACAAATTACGCATTTTCCCAGCGAGTTCAAGGATAAACAGAGGAGAAATTCGTGCAACAAACAAGCACATGCAATTGCTTTAGGCACGATTCATTATGTGGATTCAGAATAACGAAAACACAAGTGCAGCAACAACCGTTTATTCGCTCAACAAATCGATTTTCTCGCTTCCTAAGGTCACATGATTAATTCTAAAACTTTTTTCTATTGCTCATTTAATGCATCTATCCATTGAGATCTTTCTCGTTTATCAAAACCAGATGCTTACGCAATCAATGCATTGTTTGTTGCTTGAAGTTCTGCGAGAAATTCTTTGCATACAATCACTTGACACTTTGAATAACAGTTATGGAATCATTCATCGACATTTCATTAGAAACATAGTGAGTGTTTGTTCTGTGAGTTGTAGGGAATACGCGTTAAACACCTGTGATCCATTCGCTGAATTATCTGAGTCATCGACCTAAGTAATATCTAACGATATCATTTTGACCACAGAACTTTTTCGATTCAATTGATTCCGTAGGCTCATATAATCCTATGCCAAAGGCAAACTTTGGGATCAACATACAGTTGAGTGTTACTTTCGAAGAGTTAGCCAGCCTCCGAAACAGCAACGAAGTGGTTTCTGCATATTTGTAGAAAACATGCTGTCAATGGAATAATCCCTAAGTTGCTAATCAACCAAATTAGAGGCTTTGGTACTTTTTTTTCTTCGGCCCAACAACAACAAAAATTGGATAATTCTAATGACTAGATCGAGAGGAGAGTATGTGAAAAAATTCTAATATATTTTGAAAGAGGATAGTATGTTTCCTGATGATTCTGTTGGCGTTAAAGTAGAGTATGTTGTAGTACCGTCTAGACTCTGCGGTCTTCACGGTTTTTGCGCAACTGATAGGAGATAACAACATGGTGTCTTCTGCAAAGTTGTAGTACTCGAGGTCTTCTATAACATTGCTGAAGACATCTATCTCTTATCTCTTATCAGTTGCGCGCAAATCGCGCACATAAAAAAGCAAATTTTATATAGAACTTTTTTTTTCTTATCATTTTTCGCGCTTTTCGCCGAACTGATAAAAGATAAGAGATAACTGACTTCAGCAATGTTATAGAAGACCTCGAGTGCTACAACTTTGCCGAAGACACCAAGTTGTTATCTCTTATCAGTTCCGCGGAAACCATGGAAAACCGCGAGGACCCGCCAAAAATGAACATACTCGCCTTTAACCATTTTTGAGTCGAAAGAAACTTACTCTTCTCTTTCATAACAACATAGTGGCGAAGCGTTACGACTACGCGTACCACTACGAACCACTACGTTTAGGGAATTAGTGAACGTAGTACTACGCGTACTCGTAACGCTTCGCCACTAGGCATAACAAAGTCAGATGAACTTACTCTCCTCTCGATCTAGTCAATAGAATTATATTAAATTGTGGAACAATTTATGCATACTTTGATCAACTAACACATGGTGATAAGCGACAAAGTGTTTGGTGTCTATCAACAAGTGTTTCACACAGCGTCCAATCGACAAAAATACACCGCATGATAAGTTGTTTACTTGCCCATTTGTACCGCTCTCTTTAAATGCTATTCACTTGAATGGAGAACAGATTCGAATGCAAAAGCCAACATTTAAAATGATTGCTAAGCACATTCTTTAAATGGAACAACGAATATATATATATATCATTTCGATGGTGATTAAGTATTCAAAGCGTTTATTGCAAATATTAAACATTCGAATGCTCATTGAAAATGATATGTGTGCAAATCAAGTGAGTCTAATGCCATACAAAATCACCGAAAAACGATGCATACTAGTTTAAATCTATTGTCATCATTGATGTATGCTCCAAAAACTTCGATCTAAAATGTCGAACGAAATGATTTCAAATGGCGTGCACAGAAATCAATATGCAAAAATTGAGCAAATAAACAGTGTTTCGGGTCGTATCAATAATGTTGGCTCAACGGCCAACACTACGTATCAACAACAAAAACGTATTTTTTTTCTGAATTGTAACACAAAATCAATCATTGTCATTGCAGAAAAATCGCGGTAAAACTAAGTACATCGAATTATTATCCGCAACAAAAACAGACTGAATTTAAATGGTTTTTATTTATCAACTCATCTGTTGTTAAACAAAAAGTCCACATAGACAAGCACGAGACGAGCATATTCTCTTTTATCTCATTAACAAATCATATTCTTTTTTAAATCTCATTTCAGACACTTGACGAACAAATAGACATAAATTTTAATGAGCGACATTGATCGATTGTGATTGAATAGAACGATTTCACAACACAGTGACTACATTACTAGAACAAGAGGACGACAGCAGCAGCAGCAGCAGCAACAACAACAAATACAAACAATTCGTTCAACAAAATGGGTCGATTTTCAGGGAAAAAATGTCGCCTTCTCACCATGATGGTGTTGACTGGATTTTTTTTCTTTGTGGAAATCATAGTCGGCTATGTAACAAATTCAATGGCATTAGTGGCAGATAGTTTTCACATGCTGGGTGATATAGCGGCGCTGGTCATATCGTTTTTATCTGTAAAGGTAAATAATCCGAGCGATTCATTTACCGTTGCTCTGGATATTAAAACAAAAGAAAAATGGTGCTAAGCATTTGTGTTTTGTTTTCATTTTTCGTTGAACTAATGTAGATGTCACCAAAGAAATGGTCCAAAAATACATTCGGATGGGCTCGTGCCGAGGTGTTGGGCGCTCTAGTGAATGCCGTATTCTTAGTAGCTTTATGCTTTAGCATCACAATCGAAGCGTGTAAAAGGTAATTTATTGGAAATGCACTGTTATCTACTTTATTCGTCACTTGAAACGATTGACACACAAAGGGAAAACGATTGAGCACACGTGAAAGAGAAAATGCTACACAAAGAGCTATAATGTTATTGCATTAATTGCAATTTGTTCGTCATTTTTTATTTTATTTTTTTTCAATTATATTCACATCTCATTCAAACGCGCAAATAACAAATTTTTGTTGACAATTGAATTAAATATACACTTTCTTAACGATTACATTGGTATGAAGTGGTTTCATAATGTTTTCAAGAAACTGTATCCATATATCTCCGCACAAAAAGAGACAACCAAAATTTCTTTCGTGATTAAATACCTTACACATAATTTTTTTTTTCAAATCGATTACAAAAAAAAGAAGAACAAGAACATATGGAATAGTTATAAGTTTGTTGTTTTGTAAGTCAATCCTATTTACTATATATCTTTGTCTTTCATTTATTATTTCTCTTGATGGTTTTACTAGAAAAAAACACTTGTAATTTCCAAAATTCCATTTCGTGTCGTTGCTAAAACGAAATTCGGAATATTGTTGTGAGAATTAACGAATGCATTATAGCGTTTGTGTTCGAAATTTTGTGACATTTTTTTTCCTACTTTTCTTTCCTTTGCGAAACTTATGTATATGTATATTGAACATTTTCGAACGAGTTTGTGTCGTCGGAAAATTTTGCTCGTTTTTTTTTGTCTTTCTCCAAACCAAAAAAAAATATATTGAATCACAATGTAAAGTCGCTTCCTAATCTCGACCCAAATAAAATGCATTTAAGCTAACAATTATAACATCGTAATACAAATTTACACGTACACTGTACTTTTTCCAATTTTAAAAAAACTGCTTCTGTCCTATCAGTTTATTTGTTTGACACATTTTTTAAGCATTTCATAAGATGTAGTTTTGTTGTTGTTATAAATTTTGGATTGAACTCATCGTCTACGTTAAAGAATCATGACAATTTTTTTTTTCGTTTAGTCTTAAGTACTTTTAGTGTCAAGCTAGAAGAGAATGGAGGGCTTAAAATCTATGTAGTTTTTTCTATTGTATTGTTCATTTTGTCTGCTCTTCGGCACGTTTGCGACGCTTGTTGAGTAATGGATTGTTTGAATTGTCCAATGCCTTGATGTGCATCTGGAAGAATTGAGAAGAAACAAAGATTATTAAAGGCCCTGTTGAAAAAGGTGCAAAATCGATGCGGTATTTGGTAGAATGAACTGTACCTGATCATAGTCGACTCGCATGGTGGCCAACGAGCGGGTCATTTCCTCTTGAACTTCAGGCCAAATGTCTTCGCCCTCTCGCAAAACGCGTCCAGTGTGCAATGGTGTTTGTGGCACGGCCGTGTATTGCTGAAATGAACAAAGTTCATGAGTCAAAGGCAAAATCAATAAAAGAATTAGTTTAGTTAATGAACACTCTTGTGCTGGGAAGAATAGAAAAAAAATGCATGTTACTCACAGCGATCCATTGATTTTTCATGACTTGATCGATGCTCAGCCGTTTGGTTGGATCAACATTAAGCATTCCTTGTATCAGCTTTTTCGCTTGATCGCTCACATTTTGCCACTCTGGATTCGGGAAGTCAAATTGGCCCAAACGAATACGTTTTTTCATGCCGGGTGAAATGGCCAATCCATGATTACTATAAAATGGTGGAAAACCGCATAATCTGTGGACGAATAAGCAAAATGGAATGTCACAATCAGATAAGACTCTATTTTTGGCATAGCGGATGTAACACATACAGAATGTACATAATAACACCAAGTGACCAAATATCACAGCTTTTGTCATATTTTTCGGGACCAAGCACTTCGGGCGCAACGTAATACGGTGTATAGCATGGTGTTTGCAATGTATCTTTTGTGAATGTCTCTTTGGCAAAGCCAAAATCAGTCAATTTTAAAACAGCATTCACTGCTGGTGATGTATAAAGCAGATTCTCCGGTTTTAAATCGCGATGTGCAATGTTTAAATCGTGCAAGTATTTCACAGCCACGCAAATTTCATGCATAATTTGAGCTGCCTCTGTACAGTGGGAGACACAACGACACAACATGAAAAAGATAAAAAAAGTTTTTTTTATTAGTATGAGAATAAAAATTGATACTAGTATAATAGAATAAGTTGGATTACCTCGTTCAGTGAAGGGTCCTTCGTCTTGGCGATCTTGAATTCGCTGGAATAATTCGCCACCTTCCATACTGTAAAAATAATAACAACAACAACAACAACAACAACTCCCTATTATTCGTTTCTATCTATTTTTATGCACGATGAGATGTGCGAAAAAAAAAATACGGTTGACACACTCAAATGTATTCAATTTAGGAAAAAATTAGCAGATCATCATCATACGATGTTTTTTTTTCAAGTTCTTTTCCTTTTCTGTCCGCAATGACTAAGAAATATTGACCGATCCATTTAATTCGTGTTTCGTTTTTTTTTTCCTCCCAATATATAAAATTGATTTGCACTCACCATTCCATAACAACTAGTAAACATGCTTTGCCACTGTAGGAATTTTCGAATACATCAACGATATTGACAATATGGCGACATCCGCTCGCTGCCCAATGCAAATCAACTTCACGTCTTGCCTTTGGATTATCGTGCAGTACTTTGAGCGCGTACTTTTGGCCCGTTGTTCGGTTGGTACATTGAACTACCTTACCGTTGATACCAAGACCGAGGACGGTATTCGAAATTTCATATGCTTCTGTGATTGGAGACGATTTTGGTTGTCGCGTTGAATCTCTCGCTGTAGTTGATTGCATTGCGCTTTCCGTGTATGTGAGTGTTTGTGTGGTGTATGAATTCCAGATGTGAAGATGATGACGACGACGATGTGTTCCTTTTTTAAATTGAATTTAGGTCATTTACAACATCACAATTAAACCCATTATACCGTTAAAATAACAAGCAAACGTTTATATAATACCTGTATGTCAAAAAAGCAGGAAGTAAAATTGCGATTGGCTGCGCCGAATTATTTTATTACTGTCTCGTTGAACACTCTCACACGATTTTATCGCTGTTGATTTTGTATTTGAAAATGCTGCTTAAATATGGAAAGATTGTTGTCATTGGAATACGATTAGTTCATATGCCAACAAGAGATGCAATGCGGTCTCATTATTTATTCACATTTTGGTACAGACAAAAAAAGAAAACGCGCGAATTTTCCATCGACATGCATAAATGTAACATTTGCTATTGAATATTTACAATATATGAACACTGAGATAGAGACGTTGTTGCAATGAATGCTAATTAAAAACGAAAATCGATTTACCACAACAATCTTGCGGCGCGCGCGACACGTTTCAACCAAACACCATGCGAATGAAACGGTTGGGTTTAGTTACTCAATTCGATTGACAAGACATTTTTCATAACCATTCTTCGTAAGTTATTCAAATAAATACAATCACACACACACACACACACACACACGCACATATGTATATAATCACTGTTGCGCATATGTATACATACATAGGTCGATGACGTATCATTACCAAGAATGAGACGAGGTAAAAAAAAAACACGAAAAGAGACGTTATGACATTCGTAACATATGGACTATCTATGAGTTTGCTTGAATGATATTGCCTTCAATGAGAGCCATGAAAAAGTTACGTTTTTATCACAAATGACTGACAAAAATCATGTTTGATCATTGACGTGATTGCGTTGGGCGGCACGTTGCCGAAATAGTCATTCAAATTTATACACAACTTATATTTTTGGCGTCTAATTCTCAAATCGAGCATATTTCTAATTCTACTCTCTTATTGCCAGATTTGTTTGTCTCAATCGTTTTGCACTTTTCTTATATGTGTTATGCTCGGTTTGATAATCATTCGGAAATTCCCCAGTGCAAAAAAAAAATCTATGACTAATACATCACCCTATCAAATTCAGTTGATTTCGAAATTGTTGTGCATTTTAGCAAGAAAAAAAAACATGAAAGAAATAAAATTAAACTTGGTCGAATGAAGTATTGAGATTATCATAAGAAAATGAGTTTAATTGACCCAAACTGAAATGCATACTGATTCAAGTTTTGAAAAAAAAAAACATACACACATCAATCATAAATTCAAAACACACAAGAATTAAAGGAGAGAGAAACAAACCAACGACAACAACAACACACAATTCTATTTTTGCTTTGATGAGAATGCTTGTTGCACCGACTGGTTTGCAATTTTCGTAGAAATTACAAAATAATTGCTCACATTTAGTTGGGTATATCGAAACCGATTGTAATCTGTTAAAACGTATTTAGTTATTGAAAATGATAATATTTTTTTGTCTCCATGCAGCAATTGCAACGGATTTAATTGAATCACTTGTTTGTGTTGTGTTTTTTTCTCCTTCTGCTAATTCCACTGCGGTGGCCAATACATTCGATCCTTATTCCAAGCTTATGCTTTTTTTTGAAAATCCGTTCACACACTCAAACACACACACACACACACACCAATTGTTTCGTTTTATGTTCGTTTCATTTAATATCCGTAACGCTGCGCGGCTTATATCAATTCATTATAATCGGTGTGTGTATTTTTTTTGTTCCTACTTCTTTGGCGTTGTTGTTGTTTGTTCATGAATATATATATATTTATCGCATGCCGCTAGTCAAGTCATTCGCATACATTTGCAACTACACTCACGCATATTTACACCAATAATTAAAGAGGAGAAGGCAGAAAAAAAGTCATAATAATAATAACTGCACATACACAACCATTTAAACTATTCATCATTGAAAATTTTATGAATAGAAAAGTTGAAGAAAAAAAAAAGAGTTGAGTGAGGGTAAAAATATAATCCAACCTTATCTTGCAACAAGTTAGTGTTGACAAAAAAGAAGACAAACAAATTTATATAAAAAATATATCCGCAATGAACGATGATTCCAATTGGAAAATATGTTATGTCAAAATATTTAAAAAATAGAAACTGAAACTTGAATTTTTTCCAACGAAGTGAACGACGAAAAACACAAAAACACACAGAGAAAATTTGACGTCGCTTCAAATGAAACTATTTACAAAAAGTTCGAACAATATTTTTTTTTTTTTTTTTTTTTCAAATAGAAAAAAGCTTAGGCAACATATTATGACGATTGAGGTATGATCTCTTATCTGTTCACGATGTTGCTTGTTGTTTTTCCAATGTTGAACTGATGTGAAGTTTGTTACCAGATAAAATCAAACTCGAAATGTGTCACATTTGACAGTGTAGCTATGAGTGTTGAGTTGAAAATTCACAACACCACATCAACCAACGGCCATGGTGAATTATTATGTCATACCTCATGCTATTCACCACATTGAACGTGTTTGAATTGAAATCAGTTTCTCATTCGTTGTTGTTTACATTCTCGTTTCGTTCTACAGATTTATTGAAGAGGAACCAATTCACAAGCCAGAGCTATTGTTATTCGTTGGCTGTATCGGGCTTCTAGTCAATTTAATTGGATTGGTTTTGCTTTATGGTAAGAATATTGATCTCCGCGTTTTGAATGTCAATGATATTTATTGAAAATTTAACGATTATTTTCCAATGTATAATCTGTCTATGTAGAACATGGTGGACATCACGGTCATTCACACGGTATTGCACGTTCGAATAATAAACTGGCTCAATTGACAAACACTGATGACAATGAAAACAATTCATTTGTCTACGCGGAAGGGGTAAGTCTTTATATGGCTTTTGCCTTACATAACAAATTTACATTTTATTCTCTCTCTCTCTCTCTCTCTTTCATTTGCAACAACATTCTAAGCAAAAAAAATTTCGTTTCAGGATCAGAAACAAGCGAGCAAATCGAATGGCCACAATCACTCTCACAACTCGACGCACATGAATATGCGCGGTGCATTTTTGCATGTGCTCAGTGATGCGCTTGGAAGTATCATAGTTGTGATTAGCGCCTTAGTTGTGTGGTGCACCGAATGGAGATACCGTTACTTCATGGATCCAGCACTTTCCATTCTGCTTGTTATCCTCATTCTAAGTTCCGTGTGGCCACTTTTGCGCGAAAGCGCTTTGATTCTTTTACAAACGGTTCCAACTCATATTCAGGTTATTATCAATTTTTATTGTGTATTTTAATGAATCTCGTCAGGTTTAATTTGGCCAAGCATAGTCTGGGGTGATTTACTCAACAATTTAATTTTTATTTCCTAACATTTTTTTTTTTGGTTAATATAGGTTGATGCCATTCAAAGACGACTACTTGAGAAAGTTGACGGTGTGTTGGCCGTTCATGAATTTCACGTGTGGCAATTAGCTGGTGATCGTATCATTGCATCAGCTCACATTAGATGTAGAAATCTATCCGAATATATGAAAATCGCCGAAAAGGTCAAAGAATTCTTTCATAACGAAGGCATTCACTCAACCACCATTCAGCCAGAATTTTTGGAAATTGAAGGTTTATTCAATACCGACGGTAGGAATTTTTTTCTCTGTTTTCTTTTTTATTTAATTTCCGACAAATGATCAATGCTAACGAATATTTTGTTCTATTCCTATTAGATGGTATCACCACAGCATTGAATGTGAATGGTTCTCAGGACGGTTGTGCTCTGGATTGCCCAACCACAGACGAAGGATGTGTTAAAGCCACTTGCTGCCAAACAAATAACAAGGTCTGCTTTATTACCATACAATTTATTGTCTTTCGCCGAATTTCCAACCAAATTCTATATATCGCACATGTTTCAATTTACAGAATCAACAGCCATCACCATCGGCATCACCATTTTTGGTTCGTCAAAGAAACTCGAATTCACGAAATGAAAGTGACATTGAGACAGGTATTTGAGAGTTTTTTTTTGTTTGTCTTCTTTCAATTGAACATTGAACAACATTTATTATACCAATATTTCTTTTTACTTGAAATGCAGGTTCTTTGCTGAAGTCGACAAACAAAGCGGCACCGACAATAGTCCCGTCTCAAAATGCTGAAAACCAACATCTGTCAGTTTGACGAACAAAACCAAGCAACAGTGATAAAAACAATTTATTATACCACGTAGACTTAGCTAAAATGAGTTTAAGTAAATAATTGGTTTTGTACTGTTAAAAAAAAGAACAAGAACAAAAAATTTAATAAAATGAACAAAAAAATGACACATACAAACAAACAAAGAAACAAGTAAACAATTGAATGAAACACATTATTACAACACGTAAGAGAAAGAGAGAAAAATTTAACAAACGCAATCAAATGCCTTCATTGCTTTATCAAAGATAGAGTGAAGCGAAGAGGGGAGAACAAAGAAAGAGTGAAAGAGATAAAAATCACAGAAAATCTAAAATTTAATAGCAATGTTTGCAATATTTACCGTTTATTCATAGCATGTGCGTGCGTGCGCGAGAGAGATATTATTGTAGTTTGAATGTTTTGTTTTTTTTCTCACGCGTCACATCGATCGCAGTTGGTTTGATCTTTAACTTTAAACTATTTACAATAGATTTTATCAGATTAACACGCGTTCGACTATTATTATAAACAACAAAGACTTTTTTTTTAAATAGCTAGTGTAGTCTTTTCCGAAACCATTTTAGTGCAGAAAAACTATTTCATTAGGATTCGTTTGAAGAAACGAGTTTTTTGGTCAAACTATTTGAAAAAAAAAAGACAGAAAACCAAAAACAATTAACTTTTCGAAAGAAAAAAAAAAGCCGGAGAAATTCTTCTAAAATGAATCTCTCTCTATCTCTCATTCTCTCTCAATTCACCAAACAAATTCGCATTATAGCACTCGACAAAAGCAACTTTCGATTTTAAACTGTTTATGGGAGGTGAGTAGAATCGAAATGGCTGTGTTAAAACAAATGTTACAATAGATTCTATTTCTATTGCAGAGGGAATATGAATTTTGATTGAATGCATCATGAAAATGAAAAGGAAAAAAAAACAAATTTAGCAAAGTATAAAAACAAAACAAAAAAAGCGAGAAAATATGAACTCTTTTAAACTCGAATTAGATTCAATAAATTAATTTAAATCATTTAATTGATATTTATTTGAAAGACATATTATAAAATAACTATAAACAGTCAAAACAAACATTTATTGATTAAATTATATTACATTACAGAATTTACAACCTAATAACTTGAACAATTTTAATTATATTTGAACCGAAAACAAAAAAATCATATCTCAAATGTAAGATTTTCGTGTAAAAAAAAAACAGAAGAAAAAAAATTCCGAAAATCGTTTGCTCAATGTTGAACTCTGACCCAAGTTGAAGAAATGATTAAAGGGAAAACAGGCCACATCAATCATTCGATATTGAGTATATATCAATCGTTGATTATTATTTTTTACTTAACACATAATATCTTCGATGTTTCTTTTTCGCTTGATCGTGTGATAAATCTTGACGAAAAAGGAATTAATGAACATTTAAGTCTGATTTTGTTCTTTCTATTTTTTACTAAACAATTCCATTGTTCAAGTTCGAAGTATTCAATATCGATGCGATGAATGTATGAAACGGAACGAGAGCCGCTTGAAAATCAGTTCAGCTTAACATTGAGTAAAAAAGAGAAACTCATCCAATCCACAGGAAATAGATATGTCTTGCATTTTTGGTCACATGTTTTTTTTTTTACATTGTGTTGAAATCATTTCTGTGTCTCGTGTGAGCTACTTATCATTTCCGATTGCACATTTTTTCCACTTAACCATAGAAAAATGTTTATGCCAAAATGGATGAAACAGAGAATTAAATACAACAACAATAGAGTTATCACAAAGAAACAAAGGCATTGTTATAGATGTTGGCATGTTTTTGGCGCTATCTAATTCGATATTTTAAGTGAAAGCGAGACGGAATTAACGAAAAAAAGAAGAAGAAATAATCAGAATTGCCACTAAAAGCCTTGTCTCGTACCAATTTAAACTCGTCTAATCATCGTTGTTGTTGCACCAGGAATTAGGTGATTTATATGATTAAGCGAGACGATGTGTATGTATTTGCCATCAATCAAACACTTGAACTAAAACCGAAAAAAAAATCTTCCGATAATTCAAAGTACAAAATGATGTTATTTGAGTGTGCTGTAGTGTTTTGTTCAATGCTCGTGTGTAAACCACGTTGTTGTTCGTTCGAGTTCGCTGTATCATATCGAATTACGTAACCAAACAACATGCCGGCATTCTCTTCTATGACTGTTGTAGACAGAGTATTTACAGTAAAAAAAAACTTGAATCAAAGTTTTGATCAATATTTACAAATAAAATATTTAAAAAAAAAAATAAACCGTCTTTTCTTAATTAAATGTTGATTCATTGAAATGGGGGGGGGACATCAAGTTATGACCTGGTACATTGATATATATTTTAAATCAAAACTTGTAAAATTGTCGAAAGTTCGAAAGATCCGACGTACCGTTTACATTTACATTCGATTCAAATTTTTCGTTATTTTTCCCCGATTTCCGTTCTTATTCTTTGCTTTTGTTGCAAACGTGTTACTAACTACTGGCTTTTGTTATCGTATGAAATACAAATTGAACTTATATTGAAAACCGAAAGTCTTTATGCATACGCGTTCCAGTTTGCGTGTGAATGAAAGTGGGAAGAATGAAATAAATGGAAATTCAAACATTCGCTTCATTGCGTTGCAATGTTATCCTATTATATTCCTCATTGCGATAGAATCGCCATTTGTCGCCACAAACTAACCAGATTTCTTCATCCATATCTCTAGTACGAAATGTAAAACTTTTCAAAAATTCTAAATTGCGCAACAAAATGCATAATTTCTTTTTAGTGTTGTCAATGACATCATCGAGAATAATGTCTTTCAGAAATGGTAGCGCAGCCTCTAAATCACCTGTTCTTAATACATTCTTGAGTAAATCAATAGATGTTAACGTTAATTTTTCAATCGATGGATTTTCATTGATAAAAGTAATGAAAAACTCAGGCAATGTGCAATTACTCTCAATTTCGAACTCTTTCAACTCATTGAACGAAAACGGAATTTTTGGAGAGGCAAAATATACGTCACCTACATAACGAATTTTGAATTTTTCTACATTTGACAAATGTATGCAATAGTTATATTTTCGGACTAAGAAGCTTGAGATATGAAGACTTTCAATAGACTGTAGATAGCGTTCACTAAAGCTTTTGAAATTATTTAAACTGAGTATACCGATACTCAAACTGCGTATATGTGGATTTAGTTGGAATATTGTAGCAAGATTATCAAAAACCGAGACACCCATACCCAATTTTAAGTGATGCAAATTTGGAAAATACTCCGATAGAACTGATAAAGCATTGTCACGAAAACAATTGAAATGCAAGCGATTCAATTTTGGAAAAAGCGAACTCAAACATTTCTCTTTCAAATTAACAAAGTGGATTGTAAGATCTTCGACGTTTAGAAATGGTTTCTCGAACCCTTCAAATCCTGACCCATTATGAAATGAGACCTTTTTCAAAGATTCAGCACAAAATTCGCCTATGTAACTCATAATACGATTGTAGTTTTTGGATTTTTTTTTGTTTGAAAATGAGAAATGAAAAAAATTGAGCTCGATTATCAGTCCGCCGAAGCAACGTAGTATTTGAAAGCTTTTTTTTAGATCAACAATCACTATATCTTCATCTCCCGGTTGTTTCGGAATATTTGTATAAGGCTCAAACATTATTATCTCCTTATCAGTATCGTAATTCATTATACACTGCAGATCAATTCTGACTGATTTCCTAGCATAGCTCCAAACGAATGGCATTCGAGTAGCCGATCTAAGATATTTATTGGAGTCCGATACGTTGAGAAGGTCTTCCAAGGGCAAATAAGCGAAGATTTTTTCTAAACAAAATTGGTTGAGGTCAGTGATTTTTATGTGATTATTTGAAACCATGGTCTCATCGGCTCTTTCCTCCTTCTTTTCTTCAGGTTCACCTTTTGCATCAGCCATTTTGAATGAGATTACTAAGAACTGTAAAGAAGAAAACTATAAATCAAATATTTTAGGAATGTGTCGAACAATTTTACATACTCTCTTTTTTACATACTGCTCAAACACCAGCAAACAAAACTGAACTGAATTGAATAAGTAAATTTTTCAAATATCTAATAAATAAATTGAATTTTTTGGAAAATCAGTTATCAATTGGAAATTACTAGGCAGTATGTAGTCAATCTTTGTTGACATTACCATAATATCACTGACATACGTTTTTTGTAGTTGTATTTGTGTTGTTCAGAATGAAAACGGGATTAGCCGAAACCGCCCATATATGTTGATCACACCACACCAATTGGGCACAAGAAAACTGTATAGAAGTTCGAAATGCATTCGTTCACCTGGTGAATAATTTGTTTGATTTGATTTATTCTGTCTAACAATATTCGTTCTCTCTCAAAGACAGACGATGATGGTGGTGTGTTTTGTATGCCGGGAGAGCTGTAAAAATGAAACAAGGCAAATGATTGAGTATACCATAAACAGGTGGTTTCGGCTTATACCATTTTTATTCTCAACAGATCTCTTTTGCTTCTTTCGATCGCGATACTATTTTTTTTTATTCATGGAGAATAAATTAAAAAACAATTCTCTTGGTTCATTTACTTATATTTCGAATTTATTGAAATGAGGTACATTAATTTATTTTAACTTATGGTTTGAAAAATTGTCGAAAGTTGCGCGAGATTTGTCTATTTGTTATTCACTCTAGTGATGGGTTTATCCACGTAAGTCTGGATCAACATCTGAATTTTCATTTTCTTCGTCATCTTCCTCGTTGGCATCTTGTTCCTTTCGACGTTTTGTGTATGCTCGCTTCGATGTGACTGGAACTTGATCGGTTTCTCCGTGCATCAGCGAGTTACGATAATTGAGCAATGGTTGCCAATCCTCTACTCGACTCGATGGTATGCCCGATGAAATGCGACGATCCAAGAAATTTAACCTGTTTTTATGAACAATTTCGTTTTTATCGTTTTCATATCACAATTCACTTATTTACATTCGATCATGTAGAAAAGGAATTCACAATTTGATCGTTTTATGAAGAAAAAGAAGTTGGATTTGAACTTCCACTTACACAACTTTTTTGTCCTGTTTCAAGAGTTTGTTTGTGAATTCATTGAGAATTTCGAGGAATAGTAAGCATGGTGGCGGTGCTGATGGATCGTCAATTGCATCGTTATTGTTTTGCACTGCAAACAGAATACCGGCTCGATGCAACGAGATGATTGCTTCACGATTTTTCACTGCATCCAAACCGAATGAGAGTGCAAATCGTTTTGCCAATTCCTGCAACATGCATGCGGATTAGTGTTTGAAATCCAGATAATTGTTTTGTACAGAGGACAGCCAATTGTCCGAAAAAAAATTAAAAGAAAGTAATTTTCTATGGTGGAATTGAAAAAATAGTCCCACTTTGTGTTGAATGAAGCAGTTACCTTGAGGTCTGTGAATGGCTGCGAGCTCTTCGATACATAAATCGAGTCATTTGCTTTTTGAATGTCTTTGTATGTGGTGATTAAACTTAGGCACATTGTCAGTGCACAGTTGATTTTGTTGATTTCACGCGCTTTTCCCATGGTTGCTTTAATGATGTCACCATACTCATTGTAACACTGAAACGAAAAAAAATCCAATCAATCTCATCTGGAATCTCTCTTGTCATTTGGATTTGAGAAACTTACGCGCAAATAATGCTTGAAAATATCCGCAGCTGACTTGATGGGAATTACATTGTACACCACCAATTTGCAATAGGCGGCCAAATAGTTTCGCTTCTTGTGCAATTCTTCGATACGAGTTTCGTCGTGGCTTTCTACAAGTGAAAGATTTCAACGCATATTTCAACTTCAAATCTTTGAAATCACTTCATTTTTCAACAAATTCATTTCCGTTTTGAACGAAAACACCATAAATGCAATCAAAAGAGTTACAAACCTTCTTCTTGAGTAGCAAATACGTATTGCTGAACAAAACCATTCAGTACCGCTTGCTGTTCAGCCGTCGAAACATAGTGAAGTTTTTTGTACACTGGATTGATCGTACCGAGAACATCTGAGAAGATAATCAAGAGATCGCAGATCGACTTGAATGCCTGAAATACAAACAATACGAAATTCATATTTAATTCATAAATTTCAAAATCGAAAAATCCACAAAGAAAACGGTTCTGTTCAAACGACTCACCGCTTCTTGAATCTCAATGACTTTGCTGGATCGAACCAATTCGGTGCACACATTCATGAATTTGAAGAGATTTCTTTGCAAAATGACCGAAGCGTCTTCTTGATTCTGCGGTTCGCATGTGTTTTCCAAATAGTGCAGTCCCCATGTGATCGCAAAGTAGCATGATTCGATGCAGTAGACCAGTGCTTCATTCGGAAGAGCTTTGCCTTCTGCTGTTCGTGACTGACATTCGTCAAGATCTTCGTACAACGAATCGAAAATGCCCCACGGATTCAAATTGTGGCACGAGTATAAAATGGACACTTTTTTCAGGCTCACGATAATGTTGAAAATTTCATCTTCATTTGGAATTTCTTCGCCGGCAATCAAGTTACGCCAATCATCGATGGCTTCTTTGTACCGATTCACACATTGATCGATGATGTTCGATCGAGCGATGTCACACTTTGTGAAAATACCACTTCCTTCTGTGCACAAGAATTCCAACGTCTTTGAACATGTTTCCAATACATCACGATCGTTATGCATCAGCATTATGCTACCCATTTTATCCAAGAACGCTTGCAAATTCTGGCGATTCGAATGAGGTAAAGGTCAAATTTTGGGAAAATGCAATTTAAAAAGAAGCGAAGAAGATGTAAAAAAAAAGACTTACAGCCTCTTGTCTGGAATTGGTGTAAACAACCAATTCAAAGTACTGTGGGATAGCCATCAAGTTGGCCAATTTCTCAGCGTCTGCACCATATCGTTGCAACAGGGTTGGTAGCGTCTGTATGAAATGTTCAGTCATCTTTTGTTTGTCCTCTTGGACTTGCTTCACCTCTTTGGATGTTTGTGTCTGGAATGAGTTTAAAGAGTCGTAAATGATGCATAGAACTGAAAGTGATGCAAATTTTAAGTGGTCTTACCATCTTTCGACTGGTTCCACGACCGACTGGAGGTTCGCCTGTAACGTAAAGATGCAATAATGGTTATTAATGACTCAAAAGTTGGTATAAGCATTTGATTCGGATTGTAAACACCTGAAGAGACTAGCTTATCTAAATATATCTCCAAAAATTTCAATAAATCCTTTTTAAATTTTCAATTTCTCAATCCAAAAATTACATTTCATCCAACCTACCTGTTGAGCACTGACGCACAGCGCTGACCATAATTTCAATTAATGTCGATTCTTGCTTATTGTCCAATTGTTCTTCATTTGGACCAGGCTCTTCGATCAGTAAATCCGTCATGCACTCCCAATCTTTGACCATTGGATTGTTGTCAATGAACGAATCTACCAGATATGCACCGTGTTCGTGCAGTTCGGATTCAATGAAGAACTGTACCAAATCGCGAATCAATGGAGTGTTCGGCAGTCGTTTCTTGCCACGTTTTGTCTTTACCACATCCATTGAATCCTCATCCAAATGGAATAGTCGAACGTTTAAGAATTCGGCGGCTGCCTGTGCGACACCGCGATGAGATGAATATACCAATTCGTAGACGATTTCACAATCTTTGTCGGTCAATATATCGGGGTGAATTCTGCATTGAGATCATTAGATAAAATGAACATTGGTATCAGAATGTTGCAAATGATTCGAAAAAATGATTTATATAATAATGAGTCCATCTTTCCGCAAAAAAGATTCCAAATGTAATGCTTACTTGAGAATGCTGATGACAAGTTTGACTGCGATAACCGCCACTTCAAATTCTTTGTCGAGTGTCATGGCAACGATGCGATCCTTGAATTTTGATGTGAACAATTCCAACTTGCCTTTCAGATCTTCGGACGCATAAAGTGGCAATAAGGCTTGCAAGCATCGCAAACGAACATCACCAACCTGTGTTTGAATGTCGAAATCAATAAATCAATTCTTTCTATTGAGTTTTATTGTTCAAAATATCTTTTTTTTCCGGCAAATTCCAATTTTTGCATTCACATACCTTATCATGAAGTGTCCAACCGATGTATTTGAGGTAGGAATCGTCCAAGAAATTAACGGGGAATTTAATCATCCACACTCCGATTTCACTCATGCATATGCCACGAATCTCGGGCAATGTGTCTCGATATCTGTGCACAAACACCGACTTGAACATGTACGTCAGCATATTCTTGATTTCCTCCATGTTCTCTTCCAATTCGGTGCGTTTGGTCAACAATGATTCTAATCGATCGTTGGCCCGTTTATCTCGCGTTTTCAATCGTTCGCTCTCATACTGACGTGCCGCGTTGTCAAAATTAACCGATACCAAAAGTGCCACATCAACTAAAGCGGTCATCAGTTTCATGGCGGCCAGTGTGGCTGTGTGACGGAAGGCTCGCACTTGCGAATCCGATAAACCGGTTAGCAACGAAATCAAATGATCCATTAAGAACTGATCGAATATGATTGAATACTGGCATTGTTTGACAAGCGTTTGTACAAAGTCACAAAAGTTCACTTTGAACTTTTTCCATTGTTGACCTGGCATAATCAATGGATATTCGCCGCTTTCCTGTTTGGACAGAAGGGTTTATTTGTTATTTGGTTTAAATGAAAGTGACAGAGAAAGCAGTTGCATTTGGAAGTTAATCTGACACAAATGTATGACTAATTTCAACGTGATTAGTGAACAACAATGGTCGTCATTCACAAAAGAAGATTATTTACAAAATAAACATTGACACATCATGGATAAGTAAATTGTTTTGGCAAAATATACCTCGTCGAATTCCTCTGTCATTTTTCGAATGATAACCGTATGCTCCATGAACGATATTTCGGGTGTGATGCGACCTTTACAACCACTGGCATTGATGAAGAACTGCATCAGAACCATCAACGCATGGTCTCGGTCTTGTTTATAGCTTTCAATCCATTCGTCAACAATGCTCTAAAAACGAAACATGAAAAATGATGAGCAGAAAACTTTTGATTTGAATCGAAAAAAAAATGCAATAAAATAAACTATCAATCATACCGCGATTGCCGATTTTGAATTTCTAATGATGTAGTACAGGCTGTTTTCGTCTTCGGTGACATCTCGTTCACGGTCATCACCACGATGATGATGAACAACGGGTGGTTTCTCAACGACCGGTTTTTCTGTAACATTTTCATGGTTAGCATAATTTCTTTGCAATTCTACTTGTTCATCAACCACCGAATAAATTCAATTGAATCGAATCAACTTAATTGGAATGGAAACTTACCGACTCTTTCCACGATTTTTTCAGCGACTGGTTTTCGTCCAGCGCCTGCTTTGCGTTTGCGGGCTGATTGTGTTGGTGGAGGTGCATGATAGATTTCATCATCGTCGTCATCAATAATTGGCGGTCTATCTCTGATACCACCTCTGGCTCTTAATCTTGTCATACGGCCACCTTTAACGGGTGATTCGCCATCATCACGGTCTGAGTAGCTTTCATTCAAATGGTCACTGCTGCCCCTAACACACAACATAAACAAATGGATCGCACTGAATTTTTGCCTTCAATTGTTGTTTATTTCATTTTAACCTACCCAGCTCCACCACGATACATATCTTCCTCGTATTCCATTGGCACCGGATCGTCCATCCGGATGCGTTTGCCACCTCGTCTTGGCATCCTGCAAAACAAAAACGCACAATCGCATCAATATTTGCCGCTTAAATTCCACAGTACACTTTGGTTTGTATTGTAAACAAGCATCAAAGTCTACACTCTCGCTAATATGCTCCAAATATAAAAAAAACTCCACATTTTTTCTACTTACATCATTTTGAACGGCGTTTATTTTTACAATCTCGTCCGAAACCGTACTCTTTTCGCTTTGATATTGATTTATGTTAGGGAAAATGTTTGTCGAAACTTTAGTTTGTTATTTGTCCATTATGGAGTAGTTTCCATCTTTGATTTTTCGAACACTTCTGTCATATTGCTTGGCGTTCAGATTTTTAGTACAACAATTTAGTACATCGTTGACATTCCATATAAACATATCAACACAAAATTGAGAACAATACCGTGGTGTATTTACTACGAGCGTCTTGACATTATTTAAAGAAAACAAAAATAAGTTTTATCGAAATATTTGATCTTTTTTTTTTTAATTTTCATTAAACACACTAACAATCAGCTGCTAAAAATCGATGTAAATTCGAATTTATTTGCCTTAGATTTAAGTGCACTCGTAATTTTATTTCGCACCATTTGCATGGGTCTCGGGTCGTGGATTTTGTTTGAAATCACAAACGATTATTCAACAATCCCGGTTTCAATCTAAAACTTTAACACACATTTCGGACAGATTTGCATGGCTTGTACTTCATCTAACCCACCAAAATTTACAACATATTTTAAACTGGTTTGCAGGAGGTCTGGTGTGGTGCTGATAATTGAACGCTACTAATGCAAAACATCACTGATGAGGACAATTTTGCTCCAAATTATACCGACGAGGATGATAGTTCTCCGAATGGCCCAAGCCAAAACGAACAACATGCCTGCATACTAACATTTTTATACTATTACGTCTATTTTAAAATCTTTTTGTTTGCCATATTTTTGCGTAAATTCGTTGAATTTGTTAATGTAAAAACGTTTTAGATGTACAATAAAATGCATTTTCTATGAGGATTGGTATTGAAATCTGAACAAATTGGACTTTTTCTCTTAAGAAAAATGGATTTGTCGCTTTATTCAAACCGCTTGAATTGAAAAACCAAATTTGGTGTAAAAATTGAATTTGAAATTGCAGATATTTTCAATGCAAAACACTGTTGAAACTCGGGTTTGTATTCATACTTGTGGTATTGCGAAAAACTTGCTATAGACAAGAGTGGCCAAGTTAAAAATGAAGAATTCCAATTTTGTTTTCTTCAATAAGCTAAATAATTATTTCTGGATTGTCAAAAACTATCAACTGTTCGATATTTAGAAAACTTTGAAAAGGTTGCTAAGTGTTGGAAAACATGGGATCAACGATCACATTTTATTTCATGTATCTCAATTAATCAAATAACGGAAAATATCTAAAGTAAGATGCAAATCGCCACTGAAAGCTGTAGACTCTACGTATTAAAATCGTACCATCAGTCTGCTCATTTGCGGTGTTCTTTAGATGCTTTTTACTCCCGCAATATTTTGGATTTGACTTAATTAACTTATCTTTGATCAAGTATATCATTATACTTGACCCAAAAAGGTATCAATACCATTGCATTCTAAATCTCTAATCTCCACATTTTGGTGGGCATTTGTTCAAGTTCTTTAGGTTTTATTTTTTAGCATCAAATCGATTGGCCGGGTTCATTAATCTAGTGGCTTTTTGTCGACTATTGATATTCTTCCTGACGTTCAATTCTTCAGTTTATCAAAGCTACTATTTCCAAAGCAACCAATTTTCATCATGGACAATGTTCGTTTTATTGTTTACGTACATTTTATATACAAAAGATCGTTCGCCATTGTATGCGCCTTGGATATAGTGTTCAAATCAACTTGTGTCGTTGAGAATAAAAATGGCATTAGCCGAAACCGCGTGTTTTTATTCGAATCATTTTTGTGTTTCTGGTACGAGATATGAGGCAAGCAAAGATAAAGATCTTGAAATGTTCTGAAAACATTGCAGAAGACATACATCTTCTATCTCTTACCAGGAACACAAAAATGATTCGCATGTAAACGAGCGGTTTCAGCTACACCCATTTTTATTCCCAACGGCACAACTATAAACACAGTGAATTGATTTTCAACCAAGACTGCAATGGGAATGTTGAAATTTCCCAAAAATGGAAGATTTTTAATCAAATAAATGATGAAAAGTATAAAACAAAAAAATCTCGAAATGTTACCATTTGACAATCACATGGAACTAGTCATATGTATCCATCGCTTGATCATCATCATCCTTAAGATGGAAACATTGGCTTACCATAGACCCAATAGATAATTGTGTGCGGTTTTGATATGGTTGGCTGTTGTTTAAAAAAAAAATTGACGATATTAAATTATGAGTGATGCGAAAGTCGCGGTCATTGGCAATTTGAATACGAGCATTCATGTTGAAATGTGCTATGACGTTTCATGTTAGTTTATGGCGTCATATTGAATCATTCGGAACCGAAAAAGGCATAAGAAATTCGATGATTTTTTTTTAAATAACCATAACATTTTTCGCACAAGCTCATCTCGCTGGTTCAACCATGAAGAGTCACATAGTATACGATTTAATAAAGCGCATTATTTCTAACGTACACATCTTTTTCGGGTATTTATTTTTGAGAGTGTGCCGCAGCAGCGGCACAGCTTTATCAGAACTTTGAAAAATCCAAAATAATTAAACGGAACAAATTTGTACAGTAATTACATGTCAGAATGTCATTTTCCTTTGAACATTTTGAAACGATGAAAATTAATTGGAAGCTGAGTCATTTGCATGAACTCTTGCACTACCAAATCTGTCACAAATGAAATGCGTCTAAAATCATCGGCTTGAACTTTGTATACCACAGAAATTCATCAAAATACGAAGAGAAGAAGGAAAAAAAAAATACGAAATTGTTCAGTGAAAATGCCGTCGATGGAAAATGTGATTTGAAAATGTCGACGACGACCCACCAAAAAGTTATAGTCAACGTCCAGAACCGTTAAGGATTTCGGCTTAAAGAAGCGGTACCATTTCACATAAAATACGATTTAAGAGACATATTATAGCCAAATAATGTTATATATATGTATATATTGAGGGAACACCGAAAAAGGGCAATCTCAGCACAAATGTAAAAGAGAGAAAGAACCGAGAGAGGAACGAATAGAGAATACAAAAAAACCGAGAAAATGCATACAGATAAAGAGAGAGAGAGAGAGAGAGAGAGAGAGAGAGAAATAAAAATAAAAATATAAATATAAGAAACGATACCGACAAAGGCCAATTTCACACACATGTGTGTTCGTGAACTAATTTCCATATTTCGAAAATTGACAAAGCAGTAAATTCGCTTCACTTTGTTTTGGTGCTCTGGTTGGCGGTTCCGTCTTCATCATGCGAGTGTCACATTGCGTAACTAATAAATAACATTTTCGGCATGGAAAAAAAGTGTTTCCTTTGAAAAGATTGCGACCATAAATATAGTATATATATATGTTTTGTTTCCCTTTCTGCCTTAGACATACGTATATGTGTGTTTTGTTGTTTCTATGCCTAATGCAGATCGTTCATGAGGCATGTGAGAGCGGGTTCGATTGCGGATGCCTTCCCAAAAAGTGATCGGGACCAATTTTCAAACTACTGTGTTCCGTATGATAAATTAGATGGCATAGATGGCATTATTGAAGATTAACATCATTTCAGCCATCTGATCTCTTGGTTTTGTTTCTGTGCGATGAGTCGCAAAATAACGGCACAACATGCGTTATGCTGCAATTGGCCCATGCCTTCGCTTGATTTGTGGTGGCCTTGTGCCTGTTGCATCTCGCACTCTTATTCACAAACACACACACACACACTCTTCTATTTGATTTTTTTCTCCCTATTTATGTGTGAAGTAATGCCGTTTCTAATCTTTTGGTAGCAAACCGTAACTAGATATTTGAGACAAACTATCCATTTCGAAATTGTCCATGTGATGCAAATCGAGTTTCACACTGAAAACTTTGTTGCGTTCAAACACTTTCTACAAATGTTGTTGTTGTTGTTTTTATTTTATTTTTATTTTTTCCATCGCAAGTCAAGTTGTTACATTGAAAATCGTCTGATGTTTTACCGAAGGCAATGCACAGAGGATGCTGTTGTTGGACCCAAAATGAAGCTGCCTATACCAAATGCCCATAGGCTGCACTAATGAATTAAGATGTAATTTCTGTATTAAATACATTTGTTTCGCTCACTTATTATTTTACTTGTTTAATTTTTTCTACTGGGCTCTCGTTTGTTTGTTGCTTGCAAAGTTGCTATTTCTATTGATTTGAATGCTAACCAAAGGTAAATATCCGGTGGCAGCCGCGTAACTCACATTTCAATGTGATTGGTTTGTTATGAGATTAGTCACGTTCTATTGGAGAAACACATAAAACATACAAATCGACAACGATAACACCGACCGATTTGTACTTGAAACATATATTTATGTTCCATATTTTAGTTTCTAGTGCAACGAGAAAAAAATGTGTGATTCTGTAATAAAAACAACTATCGAAACTGTGCAACACTTTTTTTTTCCCGTCGTGTGGATCTTTTCTGATCTTTCTTGGCTTTATGCTCTTTTTCTGCTCGTTTTTTTACATTTTGGTTTAAGCATTGAATCGGAATAGCGATTAAATCGTCATGGTTTTTCATTTTGTGATTACATTGTCATCATTAAACATCTAATATAAGCATGCAAATCTCAATCTCTAAATAACTGCTTCATGAGTTTTTCTCTCTCTCTCTCTCGAACGCTTGTTTTCGATGCAATTTTCAATTCGGCTCTGACTGCTACCAGATGATGTGAGAATTAGACTATTGTTTCATTTATTATTATGCCGTACTCTTTTGCCAATCCGTTTTTCTCCAATCGCTTTTTCCGGCTTAATGCCATGTTTATTTTGAAATGTGAACACAAAATACTCTGTAGCTGTAGTTGTAATACTTTAGACCTTAAATTTATTGCAAAAATAAGCTAGTTGACCCATATTTGTGGATATCGTAAATTTTATTCGTTGCGAATCGAGGGGATTGACTTACTTGTTTCATCGATACATGGGTTTTGAGTGATCATTTTTACTATTTAATCCGACTACACTTGAACAGGGATTGCTTGTGTGAATAGAGATGCCAACAAATCCGTATTAGTTTTCATAAAAGATCATTCGATCATAACGGGATAATTTTGACCAACCAACTTAATGTAACTAGAGATGAACAGGGACATGAAGATCGCCAATAACGAAAAGACTAATATTTGACTGAAAATTGTAATTTTCATGCCTTTTACAATGCCTCGACCAGCCCCTCGCAATTGTGTACTTGAGCATGCAGTTTTACATGTTACAAAATTAGCGTTTATAAACATTCAAATTAGCATCAGTAGCCGAGTTGATAAGAAAGGGAGGAAAGAATTGAAGCAATAGTACACAAATACTTGCACTTTTTCACTTTTCATTCAATGATATCGCTGACCCTATTTGAGCCAAATGAAATGTTTTGCTACAATGTATTTTATGACATTTTTGCCCAATGCGTATGGTTCAAGAAGTAGGAAATTTCGATTTCAATGAATTTTAATGACGGTTTACTTTATGTTGCTTTGCTCTGTTATATTCACCTGAATATCGTGAAAATGGTAAGCTTAACCCAAAAGTAAAAATAGCTTTATGTTCGCAAAGAAGAAGGGAAAAAAACCAGCATCAAGTTGTGTGCACATGAACGACAGTGATGTGAAGTGAATTATGTGACAAAAAAAACTTTTACGCATCCGTTAACCAACCGTGAAGCAACGAAAAAAAAAATTTAGTATTTCCTAGAACACTCTGCGGTACTATCCAAGCTCTTTGGATGAGTTCAACTCACACAACTGTTTACTAGGGAGAATTATCATTAAAATTAAATGCAGGGTTGAGCCATTTTTAGAGTGCCGCCTTCTTTTTTTCTCTCTATCTCTTGTCTTTTTGAAATTGTCAAAAATTACATCAAGCATCATTTTGTTTAGCTAATGAAGGGATCGGGTTTCCTACACTCTACGTTAATTGTTTAAATTCCAAGTTACTGTTTTAACTCACTTCGATGTTCTTGAAAATTATTTTTGAAGAACAGTTTTTACATTTTTTTTTTCGAAAGCCACAATGAATACTGGCTGGAAAAATCCTTTTCCATATTCATTTAAAATTTAAACACAATTTTGCTAATACAATGTGACCACTCCAAACCACAAATTTCAATCGTTTGCCAATTTTTCACTGCACACACTCAAACATCATCAATTTGATGCTATTAAACTATCAACCAATATGCTAAAACTTCGAACGAAAAGAATTTGTTCAAAGAAAACACAATGATAGACCGTTCTGTTTCCATCGCTCCTATTCAAATTTCATGTGTTCTGAATGCATCGCGCTTTGAATTCGCCGGGCCGAATTTTCAAGTTTTGACAAATTGTGAACATATTACGACATGCGAATCGTTAAATCTTTGGTTAAATTAATTTGCTGACGGAAAATTGTTTTGAAAATGGCCAATTACTCATCAATGACATTCATCGGTTGCCAGCAAACGCGAATTCGAAATTAGCACAGTTTTTCGCGATGAATTTATTGATTTATTTCTAATTGGTGAAGAAGAATTTTCATAGAGCAATTCACGACTCGGCACACTCTTTGCAATGGAAGCACATGATGCCATTGCATCTCATAAATAACCGGGCAATATCGATTCCACAAGTTGAGTGAGGGAGCATTTTACAATCTTTTTTCCACGAGATCATTACTGCCGAAAGGATACGCCGAATAATTTTGTCTCAATTCGACTTCTAGCTGAGGAAAAAAAAATCGTTAGTTTCAAAAAAATGAAGAACACAATTGCATTTGAATCCTGTGAAAATCTATTTCGGACTAGATATTCCACAATTATTTCGTATTGTTGCGTATCATTAGCGCTTCACCTTTAATTCATGTGCAAGAAATCACAAAATGCATTTGCCAACATATGCAGATACATTTGACACAGTAAATGGAGGAGGGAACAGCCAAAGAGACAGATATTACAAATTAAATCAAAGCATGACTTAAACACATTTAAGTGAAACACGTGTTTGTCGCATTTTCAACATTTCTTTGGTATTTTGATTTTCGTTTTTTTTTCTCTGTACCCCCTCTCTCGCGTGCTCTTCTTGCATGTATCCGTTCTTCCGAATAAATGGAGAGAGAGATAGCGCTCCACCAACCACCACATTTCATTTCGAATGCAATTTTCGCGTGAATGATATGGAAATGTGTGTTGACAAAAGAATAACAAAATAAAATTTTCACTACAAAAACAAACAGTTTATTCTTCCATCTTTCTTTTATTTCTTCTTTTTCGTTGTGTTTCCCTTCTGTTCTGTTTTGCTTAGTTTTTCGTTAAAAATTTCGAACATTAGCCGTCATGATTAATTTATATCATTTTTATGGCTTGCAAAATATAGAGAGGAGCAGCCAATTTGTAAGCTAAATGCGAATACACATAATGAACCAATGTCAGAGCATTTTGTAGAACATACGGAAAAATATGATAGCAATCTGTTTACTTCATACATGGTAAGCGATTCTCTCAGTTGTAAACTAAATGGGAAATCAGAACTTCAGAGTGAAAGGCAGAGCAGCAGAGACTCAATATCAAATGGATAGTCCGACTGATGCAACCAGGGGGAAACACGATGCGGTAAATTTGGATTAAAACGTTTGGTTTCACTAACTTGAATCATAAAATCTAGAAATGTTTTGCATTTTATTCCCAATAAACATCATTCAATGGTTTTAAACAAATCCATTTAGAATCGAAGCGTATCAAAATTTTACAAAATTCCAACAATTACCGAAATTTTCCGAAAAAGTCGACTCCCCACTCAAGAAATATGCCTCTAAAATCGTCCTCCTTGCCATATCCCATCGTTGCATCTAGCTGCAGACTGTTGCTATGCCATCAACTTTGGTTTTAAAATTTCGATTTTCCTCGCTTTCTTAATTTCATATGTTCACTTTGGTTTGCCGTCGCATTGTCAAGCCACAAAAAGACAGAAAAAAAATTTCAACAAAAACCAAGGCAATTTAATTTGGCGTCGTATGTGTTTGGGAAAATTCCAGTGCTATATTTGAGGCGAGACGCTAAGCCAGAGAATCCGTACTTACGTATTTTCGAATGGATTCATCTCTTCACAAGCAGACATTTCGCACAACGGAACCACATCCATTAATAAATTCGTTTGTACATTGCTTCTAATTTTTTTTATCACGCTCATTTTGTCTTCTTTTTCATGCGTGCGCTCGCGACTTACGGTATCTGCATTTTATATGAAAACGCACACGGTCTAAAATTACGATGCAACAAGTTTTTTTTTTCTCAAACGGTTTTCCTTCGGTAATGTGATCGATCATGTTAACAGTTATCACGACAGAGTAGAGTAAATTATTGTTTTTCGTAGAAAAATTTGAATTTTCATTATTTTTTCCGAATTTTTCAAGAAGATATTTATAATTATATAGTCGAATAATTGTGAAGTTGTTTACTTACATGATTTTTTGAAAAGTTTTCAAAATTTGGAATCCCAAATGACGATCTTGAGCTATAACTTATATCTTATTCCAACGTGAAACTTTGTTCGCTGTTGGAAATAACACAATCTCTTCTAAATTAAATCCAAGACCATTTGATTTTTATCATATTGCGTATCAAACAAGGAGTTTTTATTGGTAATTTGTCTTAGCGTCTAAATAAATAGATAGGATTATCTTAAAAATTATTATTTATTTTCTGAGCAGTTTCAATGTGGTAAAAAAAATTGTGTGTTCAAACCATTGTATGAGCAAGTATATAAAAATCGAATTAAGTAGTAATTATTGGGGAGGTGGTTCATCAAATTGTATTACAACAAATGTTTTCCTAATGTAAATGAACTTAATTATCGAAAGAAAAAAAAAACTAAGAGAAGATTCGTAGCTATTGTTCACTGGAACAAATTCGGGAAAATTGCCCGATACACTAGATTTCTTAACATTCACTAGATTCTCCATCTGAATAGGAAAACTTTAAAAACAAGGTAATATAATATATGGCTTGTTTTTTTCTTTATCTATAATACTTTTTTCAAAAGTTAACTTCCTAAAGATTCAAATCGATTTTCAGTAGTTAGTTTAATTGCATACTTTGATTCACATGAGCAGTAAAGCTTTTCTTCGTTAATAAATTTGTGTTTCACATGGTTCAGTATGAAATATTCAATCAAAATTATTTATTTCGCAATCTGCGTTTTTTTTTGTAACTATTTACCAAGGCACATTGCTCAAGACTAGCATGTACATAAAAACAGGGTGGTCTATTTCAATTTACAAAGAATTTAAATCAAACCCCGCGCTTTCATCGATCAGATCAAAAGCGAAAATTATGTCCTTCGATCTTTGTACATGGAAAATATTGGATTTTCTTCATCTGATTTTGCTAACTTTCTTTTTTCACCAACGTATTTCTTACGGAAACGCGTTTGTCGCTTAAATACGCCTTCTTTGTGACCGTCTTTTTCTCAACTTTTCTCTGTTTTCAAAGTTTGGCTGTTTTAATTTCCGGAATCGTCTTTTTTTACAGCCAGCAAAATGCACATAAATCAGATTATTTTCGTTTCTGCATTTCATAATTTGAATAATTTTTTTTTTTGATATTTATCACCACTGTTCAGTATGTGTGTGCTTGTGTAAACAAATCTGTTTATAGTGACATTTTGCACGGAATTAAGCGATTGTCACATGTGCGTGACGACGTTTTCCATTAGCAAGTCTCACGATTGTTGCTCATGGAATCCGTTCGAAATGGTTCTTTGACCTGAACATTTTCAATCGTTTTGTGAAAATTCAATGTCTTTTCACCGCTCCTACGCTTGTGATACGTAGTGAAAATGGCCTGAAATTGGCATAGTTTACGAAAATCAAAAAAAAAAAAAATAAATCAACTTTTAATATGCCCACGAAAGAGAAGAAAATTGTGAATACAAAATGCGTGTTTTTTTTGTTTGAAAATCGTAAATTTCGGCTCGCGTCACATTTATATGAAAAATATACACTTCATTAGATTTCTTTCAGGTAAATCGAACACATGATTTTGCTCTAGTTATTAATGTATTATTTTGCGAAAACTCTGTCAATTCGTATGGGCTATTCGGTTAAATTTTGCATTGAATCTACACTAAATTTTTCGATGAATACAAAAATTTTTCGTCACAAAAATGAAACTGACCGTATGTACAATTTGTCAAACAGAGAGATAAATAGTTTGTACGCTCGGCTAAAGCTGAATGATGTCTGATTTATACTGTGGCAAAAATCAAAATCAGAAAGGTAAATATTTATATATATTTATATCTCGATGTCGAGATGTTATCCAATGGCTATAGTGAAATATTTTTAAAAGCGAAACAGAATTATTGCAACTTCACTTTCGATCAATGGTCGTTTAAAATACATACGTTAACTTCTAGAATGAATGAATATTTACGGTGATGCTGCTGCTGTTGTGGTGAATGAGTTGGACACTATTCGTACCGATCCGTAACGATCCGTGCTTATATGTTGCTCGGGGTTTTAAGATTGCCGTGTCCATGATGCAATGGTATGCTGTTGTTTTGCATGTACATATGATGATAGGTGTTGTAGGAGACTTGTTGAGTGTTTTGTATGGGATCGTTGCCGACCACAGCCGACGGTAGCTGGTGTTGATTCGTTGTTGGTACGGTTAACATAGTCGGACATGTGCCACACAGAAGAGCGGCCGGATGATGAACACTTGCTAAAATATCGTTGACCGAATGCGATGATGGCCAACAGTATGCATTTGGTACGGATGATGATTGTGGCGGTGATGGGCTATTGCATGCGTTTGTTGAGCTTTTTAACGATGTATACGGATACGATGAATAAATCGAACTATATAAATGTGAATGATGATTGCTGGTGTGGCCTGAATGATTCACCGTGCCCAATTTATTGCGCAGTATACGTGATATCGAACTAACACTTGGCACATTATTTTTATCACAAACACCTTCGGTGAGCAAACGATCCCGAATCTCCCATGCAAATATGCCCGGATCCTTTTGCTTCAGCTCACGTATATAGCTAACGACTTTTGGTGTTGTGACGCGTGGCTTTGAACCGCCAATGGCACCCGGTAATATGGATCCGGTTTCATGGTATCGTGCGAGTATTTTTGATACACAACCATGACTGACACGTAACTGTCGCGATATATCACATGGACGAATTCCTAAACGAGCCAACTCGACAATGCGTAGCCGCGTTTGATTTGGTAGCGGTCGACCGTTCACAAACACACCACCCAATTGATTTACTTCACCGTATTGCTGTGACTGAGATTCTGAAATCGAAAATGAAGAGAGAAAAAAAACAGAGAAACGAAAAAGAAACGCACAAGAAGAACAAAAAGAACAGAAATGAATTAACGATTAAATGGCTGAAGTTCAACAAATATAACAATTAATCAGCAAAAATGTAAGAAAGGAAAAAAACAACAACAATTTGTTCGACAGTAGAATGTCACTATTAATTTCGAATTACAATGCACCTTCGAAGACAAAACTCAAAATCTCCTTCATGTACCCAAATTTGCAGAAGTCTTATGCTGAAATTCGACGCAACTTTTGCAACAAAAACTCTTCGTATGACGTAGTTTACTTTCTCGTGTAGAACAATGCGAAAATCTCCGTTAATCTCCGCTAGATGCAATAAATCACTCTTACTCTCGCGTTTATTACACCGTAAAGCAATTGAAAAACGTAGTCACCAAAGGAAGCAATTACATTTTGTTGTTGTGCTACTGTTCGAAAATCAATCATACCTCAATTCCGTTGCAATCGATAATGTCACATATTTTTTTCTTCCACACTTGCACCATTTAACTATTATGCGTCCAATATTCTAGTTTCAATTGAATAATTTTCCAGCATCAAACTAAATTGCTCAAAGCCCTTTGAGTTGACTGAACATGTTGAACAAAAACGAAAACGTGCATTATCGCCGCTAGCTACGAATGAGTAACATTTTCTCCGAGGTTATTTAATGTGTCAGTCGAAAATGATAAGAAAAATTGTTCTTGGTTTCACATGAAATCTTGTTTTTATTTTGCTTTGGTTTGTACACGACTTTGATGCTTGTTCTATCTATGTTCGTTGTTCGCCATGGAATTTCTGATAATGAACCGATCGCGATCGATGCTAATTTGTACAACTGTAAAATTTACTTTTTATTGACGATCTCTGTCACATTGACACACTATCTATCGCCACAAATCAGATTTTAAATCTTTGCCTCAACGCAGAAAGGCGATGTTCCAATGATTGGTGCTTTCTATTGTAATGTACTTTTATTCCTTCAAATTATTTGTCAAAGAGAGCACGAGCGTACTACGAATAGAACGAATCGGAATCTTTTTCTTCGCATGCCTAATATATCAACAGAAATAGAAACAACACAGCGAAGAAAAAAGTGCGCTAGTTCAAAATTGACATTAATTAAATTATATATGTATATACATACAACTCAATAATAATCCATTTTTAAATGGAACGAAATTATTTAATCGTCAATATACGATGGAATACATGGCCATTGATAAATGAAATTTATTTTTCGACGATGTATAGTAAATTGGTATTTGGCGGCTTTCGCGGCCACAATTTCATTCACTTTTCACAAATTATCAACAATTCATTCAACTTCAATCGGGCAATTTGGTGTGTCTTGTGTGACTTGAAATGAAATTGGATTGCGGTTGTTGTCTCTCTCTCTCTCTCTCTCTGTGTGTGTGTGTGTGTGTGTTTGTTTTCTCTGCCTGCGAATAGTTGCATATCCGCTAAGCACATAAAACTGTCGTCGAAAAATTCGTTGGCACCATGAACATGAGCGAATGCTTGCCTTTCATCAAAACTTCGAAAATCCATCTATTCCGTATTAGCCGGTTATATAGGCGGTTTGGTGTTGTTGGTGATCGTGATCGGCACACAACATGAAAACACTTTGTCTTGCGGTAGCATATGAGCATGAGCATCACTAATTTTTGTTGACATGTACACACTCGAACCGGGAGCCGCACTCTAATACTATTTGTTGTGTTTAATGAATAGAGATAGAGAGAGAGAGAGAGAGAGAGAGAGAGAGAGAGAGACAGGCGAAGAGAGAAAAACACGGAGAAAATCAAAGAATACACGAAAAACGTCAAACAAACAAAATGCTCAATGTTTGAATAGGAGAAATAACAACAACAATCATCATACAGAAGAAACTAGTGTACACAACCATTTGTTGAAGATTTGCTATAATAAACTATGAAAACATTTCATTTCCTCTTTTTGTGACCGAACGCCGAACTAATAATCGACTGATGATCACCGTACAAATCAAGGATAAGTCCACTTTTACCGCGCTTGAGAATTTGATTTCTTTTGAAAATCACTCGCGCCGAAAGTGGAATGATTTCGATGGTTTGAGTGTAATTTAGATTGCCACCACATTTGGTGACTTATTTTAATTTCGAGTCAATCTGAGAAACATGCGGTCAACATTGTGTTCGTTTTATCATAATTTGCAAGTTGTTGGTATTATTCCGTATTCTCTATGTGAGTCCAATTAAAACAAGTCACCAAATGTGGCGCAGGAGAATAAAAAAGAACGAGGCAAATTTTATAGACGACGGAAAATAAACTGTTTTTATTTGTGATTTTGCGACCGTTTCCGGATATTAAAATTCATTGTATCCTTTTGCGCATTCGAAAGTATCAAAGATTGCCGTTAATGTGATGTGTCTTGGCATTTCTCGTAAAAACGTCTGCATATTTCATATTTTTTCTCTATTCCATTCCATTTGATGATCGGTCGACTCCGCCAGTAAAAACAAGAACACAGGGCAATGACGGGTCTGTGCTGACAGATTTGATGCCTCTAAAGCCTTTAGGCTTTATTTGCAAAAATCGTATCACAAAAAAAAGACAAAAGATGAAGAGCGAAAATAAAAATACGACCATCACAAATGACAACACAGCATCCAGTCAAAAGGGAAGTGGCCGCGACTAATAACTTATGCGCCGATTTGTCTTCATGTTTAAACGTGATGGTAATCAAATAAACCGATTCGATTAGATATTAAAAGAGTGAAACGAGCGAGTGAGCGAGGAGGAGAGCCAGAGTGAAAGAGAGAGTGAAAGAGTAGCCAGTGGCAGGAATTAGTATGACAACGTGTTGAATATGATTGAATTTCTAGCTGCTGAATGTTTGGCCATGATGCGTGGTGAGCCCAAATAAACATCTACCTTCTGTTTTATCATTTTTTCTGTCGTTGTCGTCTCTGCTCTGCTCATTGCCTTTTAAATGCTAACAACTTTTAACAAACATAAATCGCTACCGCTTTTTAAAAACACCCGAATGCATACGCGCGCTTCGCCACAACACACTGCCAATACCTGATTCATTCAGTCTGTTTATTTATTTGTTTTATAATAATAATCTTCAGCACAATGAAGGCATAACAAATACTCGATTTTTGTACGTTGCCGTTTGCTTAAGACATTGGACAAAATCAATTCTCTGTCGCTTTATACGCTTGTGTTTTTTTTTGGTACTTCTATTCATTTTCTTCGCCGCACCGAGATACATTGTGCACTGCATGCATCGTCTATCGATCGGCAAGAGATCGATGGAAGTAAAACAAACCGATTGAAATTGATGAAGAATTATCTGTGTCAATTTCAATAAGCCATATAACATTTGTTGGTCAAGCAAAATACTGACGCCAGCCCACACGGGATAATGGAAAACAAATGCGCGCTGGTTGCTGTGTACACACAATGAGAGGCTCATCACAACAACAACACCTACAGCCACAGCCACAGCAACCGGCAGCCAGAGGGAACACAGAGACGGAGACAAGAGAGAAAGGAAGACAAAGAAGAGGGATACGTCTATATTGTTTTGTGTTTGTGTTTGTGTGTGTGTGGCGGGTGTCGATTTATCGTATAAGCACATTACGCTCTCGCGAACACTCCCAAATGTTAGTCTCTTAATGCATTCGAAGATATATGATTTCGTAAATACACTGCCTTTTTATGATATTTACCGTGTGTTTATATTTACTCATTTAAAAGTTCAAATAGAGCTACTTATAATCTCAAGTCTAACTGTTCAAATGCCATTAAAAGGTAATGTAAATTAATAATTATTATGCTCATTATTTGCCTTTCGAACGCGCTACCTTTCGACGTGTTGTTCGGTCAGCCAGTGTTTTTTTTTTCTTTCTTTCTCGAAAATTAGTAAATTAACATGTAGTCTTCTCTCTGTGTGTGTCTCTTGCTCCCCCTTTACTTAACACATTCTATTCAAAGTACTTATGTAAATCTATCTTTAAAAAAATACAATGTACGTGCGCATTTACCGCACACAGACCTGCTCTGCCTACATCCTTGACGAACTTTTGTGGATGGAAATCTAGGAATGTGTGACTTTTTTTTCGCGGTGTGTCGCATCGATTGATCAATTTCAAGAAGTGGTTTAAGTAATATCACCTCCACTTATCTCATGAAAACAACAGCAATTACTTTTTACCTAACACCTTCCTTAATTCGTTTTAACGCCAATTTCATTATTCGGTCGCTTTGATTTTGTCATGGATTTTTTTTTTGGGGAATTTTGGATATTTTTCAAGAAATTGCGTGTTAAAGGGCAAAGATGACCATTTGAATGACGTGTCTCATTGGATAAAGTCCTTAATTTTCATGGAAGAACATTTTATTTGAAATTCGTTTCACGTAATCTCATTTTTATCTCTTTCATATGAAAATAAGGACCAAATCACACAAAAATACGTTATTAAAAACAAACAGGAAAAACGCTGTTGTTTCAACCGAAGAAGGTGATGATTCGTTTTCAAATCAAGCATGTTTACATTGAATGTTCTAACACCTTGGAAAATAAAAACTAATAAATTTACACGTTCTCCATATGTGGGTCCGAGTGGTCAACGATTGCGTCGGCAACATATTCGAAAAACCAAAGTAGCGGTCCCGTCGTTGTTCGATTCAATGTACTAATTTAATTACGAATCAACACAAATCAGTTGACATCGAATCTGTCGAATTCGTGTTCGCTGCACGTTTTTTTAATCCAAAAAAGTCTTCATTTTATACTCCAATAAAACCACCACACAAATTGTTCCAAATTGTACAGAGCATCTAATTGTCGCACAACGAAACCGTGCCCTGGTAATTTTCAATCAATATTGTTATAGATTTCTATTGATACGATTTTTTTGTGTGTATGTCAATTCATACCAATTATCATCATAAAAGATGCTCCATATGATTTTCATGTATTTGATCATTTTTTTCGTGGCCGGAGTTTTCATTCTATGACATCGAAGATCGATGATTTTTTCACTTTAGATCGATGGAATTTTCAATGGGAAAATCTTAATTTTCCCCAAGGTGAACATATTATGCGACTACAGTCACATTTGAGGTAAGCAAAACAGCATAATCTGTTCAAGAAGATATGGAATGGTCCATATGGACGCTTTTTGGAATCAACAAAATAATACGTTCATTCAAAATCAAGCTCAACGCTTGCAAGTCTTCATTCAAACGCAAATTCAAATCACCTACGATAAATAGTGTGAAAAACTGGAAGAATTCCTGCGACGTAGAATAATTTTTTTTTAATGAGGCTGCACTTTTTTGAATCGATTTCGATTGCCCTTCACAGTTTTGCGTAAAAAAAGCTCACTGTTTTTCGCATGTAATTCTCAATTAATAGTTTTTTTCTACTTTGTCGCGGAAAGTTTTTTCCCTAAAAAAAATATATAATAAAATACTAACCCAAATCCATATTTGTTTCCCGATAAATTTCTGTCGTTTTCAAACACTTGCAAATTTTCTACCAGCGCCGCCGTCGTTGTTGTTGTTGTTGTCGTCGTCGTCGTAATAATTTTCTTGGAGTCGTATCGTTTTTTTCCCCGTTTTTCGTTAAGTCTCCGGCGCACTTGTTTCAAGCGATCAAAGCGATAAGTATTTTTCGTGTGAGAAAAAGAAACTCACTTTTTTCCGTTCGTCGTCTATTTTATCAACGTTCATTTAATTGTTTGTGTCACATAAACCGTGCTTCACTGATTTCCCAAAAAAGGTATTAAATTCATAATGATTCATTGAAAACCAAAATTTGGTATATTTGTATATAAACAATCTTTCACCATAGTCAAACCATATGAAATCACACAAAATTTATTACTTGTTATTCAAAATTAAGTTGATAAAAAAAAAAGAAGAATTGAACAATTTTTAGTTGAATGTTTGTCTGGCTGGCCGACTGCTGTTTGTTTCTGTGTGTTGTTTCGGTTGGCGTTGTTTCTGTCTTGGTGTTATCATTTGCAATTAATCGCTGGTGAACCAAAAAATTGTGCGTTCAATTCGATTGAATAATATGTATCGTTTTTCGTTCGGGGCCGAACGTCAGGGACAACAATTGATAAACCGATTATTTCTTGTCACTACAGGTCAACGTTAAAATATTTGTTACTTTTGACGAAACGAAACGAAGCGAACAGAAAAAAAAACCGTACACTCTCGGGATTCACGATCCGTTATAACGAGAGAAAACCGTTGCCGATAATCTTGCACTTGGGCCACAAACTCACGCTCTCTCTCGCCGATGTTTTTTTTTTCTCTCCCGTGCACTCTATCTCTGTCTTTCTGTCTCTCACTCTCGTCTTACTTGTTGTTTTACTGAGTATAGGATATTATGTTTGTAATCTCTGTGTTTGGCGCGCGCGCAACTTAATCGAACTCAATCGCCAAACGATTTGAATTTTGTTTCTTTCCCGTCGAAATCGTTCACTACGGTACAAAAAACTACAAGCAGAACGAACGAAAAAAAAAAATGCTCCCGACAACGCACAACGAATATATGCTGACGCATTTGAACTTCATTGAGTACTAAACTGCTCACGGGTCATCTGTATACTATTTTCACTTATCCGAATCTCATTCAAAAGTTCAAAGAGGAACTAGAACCCATGCCGCATTAATTGGTTGGCTGCAATTACATACACACATTCGAACACCAAAATATACGAATTCACACCAAGAACATATGAAATCACATCGTCACATCGGCACACATATGCACATCACTTGCCACACGATGGTGATGCGCCGCCGATCGTTCTTGCCCACAATTGTGTGTGTTAGTGTTCGAGCGTTAGCTAAGGCTGTGGCTGCGGCTGCCTCTTGCTCACTCGCTCGCTCGTTCGAACAAACATTCTCAACAACAACCGTCGTCTTTACACACACCATTCATTCACTCGTATTCGAATTAGTGCTCTTAATGTGCTGTGCATGGGTGATCTTATGTGAAACAAGCATGTGTCGGATAGAACTCACACAATGCTTAGCTGCGAACGATCGCTCCTTTGCTTCGTTCAAATGTCAGTTTACAAGCGAAAGCTTCATCTTTCAATAAACATTGAACAAGGCGACTAGTTGAGATACGGGCACAAATCATATTTGAATGATGTGTTAAATTTGTTGGAAAAATTTGGATCAATTTCGAAAGAAATTGCGATTTTTTTTTTGAGTAATTTTTGTTTTTCGCATTGGAAAATCAGAAAGAGATGCTCTCCATTCCTCTTACATATCATTCACCTGCATCCTTCGCAGTATTATTCATTAGAGTCCCTTGACAAAATATTCACACTTCATACCGAAAATCTTTTGGTGAGCCCTGTGTTTGATCTAAATGTGTGATATTGTGTGCACGAGTACAACGTCAACATCATCGGTATTACTGTAAACGCAGAATGAATTTCGTTGTTTGGCTGAATTTGTAAGTACTGTCCCGAAAGAAGAAGGAAATACAAAAAAAAACAACGTATATAATCGTCATGATTGTATCATCGCATATCATAAAAGTCTATGTGCCTCTACCTCTGTCGCGTATGTGATCCGTCGATCCGGTCCGGAGTGAGAGGGCGGAGCCAACACAAATATTCGTATGCATATGTGCACGATTGAATGTTAGGCATTTCGAAATTTTTCGGTCGTTTCTCTTTCGTTCGCTCTCGCTCTCTCGCTGTCGTGCACGAATTCGATTCGGTAACCAATCTCATTGTAGGCTTCATTTGGTTTGTTACTCGGTTTTAAAATAAAAACGAACAAAATAAAGACAAATCAGTATGATGATATGATACCTCATGCCTCGCCCTTAAGGTAATCCACATACAAGAGACTCATCGTTGTTTTAAAACAACGATCGAACGAAACAGATGTAAATGTGAGAACAACGGGAAAGGAAAAAAAAGAGGAGGACACCCAATCATATGCCATCCGCGTCAGCGTCACTTTATTCGTATATCAATCAAAAATGCGCTTCTTGCGACTAGACATTCAATGGCAAACAAAAAAACGACTCTTTTCATTCCATTGAATGCATCTCCATAAGTCTTTTTGTAATTCAACGTACGCATCAAACGATTACGGTCGATTAGACAGTTAATCTTAGCAGAAAAATTCAAGACTTTGTTTTAATTGCAGCGAATCGAATTCATTTATTGACACTTAATCACCTATCTTTCGAGCGAAAAAAAAAACATAATGCCAATGGATATTGACCAAGTAATATGTAATGTGTTAAAAACAAATGACGCAATTGCATCGCATCGAGTTTGCGCGTTGAATTGTAAAATTTTAGAATTTGAATGATCGTTGCTTTGATGTTTATCTAAGTTTTTGTGAAATCATTTACAATTTTCGTTCTACGTTTCGATTTCAATTGAAATCCGTGCGGCCAACACAAATTCGCATTGAAATTCATTCCGTTGTGCAAGACCATTTTACTGAACAAAGTAGACAACAGTTCACAGTTAATTTAATGAAATCTTCTGCCGGCGCTTCGATGAAATGCCTCTGAACACAACTCATTTCTCTTTCGATGCAATTTAGTCTTCATTTGGTTTTCACTTTGCTCATTTTCATTTTCATGAATTTGATATGTGGCCGTGGCTCTTTTCTGCAACCATTTTCAGCTGAATTTGAGGTTGAATAGTGAGTCGAATTTCCCCAGCGCCTACTTTTGAATGAGCATAAAAAACGATCGAAGAAGCAATTCGGAAAGCCGTGAACATGAGATTGAAAGCCATGGAAATGACCGAAAAGTCGTGAAATTCTTCGAGTACTTGACTACTTGTTGGTTCATTTAATCGCACTGAATTTTGGATTATGTTGGCACATTCATTATTTTTACTACGCCAACTGAATTCAAATTGTAATAAATTTTATTAGAAAAAATATTGACATCAATTGCAACGTTTCATTCGTCAAAAATAATGCACACGATTCGAAACACCTAATATCGCCAGGTATTGGCGCTAAATTGTAGCAATTTCATTTTATTTTTTGGCGATCTGCGATTGGTTCATGCTAAATGTGAAGTCATTCGGCTGAGAATTAATTGCCGCACGGCGAATCGAACGGGACAAAAACTGGCAAACCATTTTGTAGGGTCATGCAATGCATTTTTGTGCTTGTTTCCCTGTCATTTCTTAGGGAAACGGCGTTCGTTTTTGTTTTTGTTTGAGCCATTTTCATCAACTCTGTCGCCAGCCAAAACGATACGTCAACAATTGCGTTGGGCACAAATGGAACGTGAATAAAAGTGTGCGCGCATATCATCAACAAGGATGGAACGATTTGCACCGAAGATCAGTGCGCGTGCATATTTTGGTTCGCTTGTGTGAGATAAAACAAAAACAACAGTGAAACACTTCATTTTACAGCAGCTAGACCGATTCATTTACCAGCGACAACTTTTTTCTTCGCTTCTTGTTCGATTTACTGTGGCAAAGATAGAGAAAATATGAAATTGTGAATCGTCGCCAAAATATTAAATGCATCCATTAATTTAATATGATGGCTAACCAAACCCAAATAATAAGCCTGCATTGATGCTGGGTCGACAAGAAGAGACAGGAAAAAAAAAATCAGTTTTCTGCACGAGGCTAGATATCACATTATGAACAGTAAATCCCTCATTAGTTCAATTAACGGCAATCGTACACACAATTTCGAAGATTCTATTGATTTTGTGCGCGTACGGAAAAAAATATTTGACATGCAACAACAACAAGAAAAACACAGCAAATTTATTTGAATTTTAATTATTTATTTCTTGTTATTACATTTTAGAAATTCGAAATTGAAAGCCAATTTTCAAATAATTAAAATCTCATATTCAAACATGATGTCATTTGAATTTTTTTTCAATCCATCATCATTTTCGATTATTTATTCGCAACGGGAGATTTCAATTTGATGCGAATCGAGAGAGAGAGAGAGAGAGAGAGAGAGAGAGAGAAAGAAAGAAAAACGAAGAGTTTCGCGCGATTCCACGATTCGTTGATTAATTTTTCAATAAAAACGCTCCTTTAAATTATATAAGGTGCATTTTTTCTATATGCGCATTTATTGATGTTATCAGCGGTTTGATAAGAGCGGCGCCCAAATATTTGCAAGTCATCAGCGATTTATTTCAGTGCAATGTTCTCTGCTGCAATCGTTGTCGAAATTGGACAAAAAATGATTCATCAGCTGGAAGAAAAACGCCATCTCGTTCATTTAAAAGAGCCGAAATCATAACGAAAAAGCAATTGACGTTCATTCAAAATCGACAAACTTCAACATTGGCTGTAAAATATCAATTGATATACTGCCTAAACCGAAAAGAAAGTTAACAAACAGACTTCACGGTGCGTACGTAATAATTTTAGATTCCACAATTTAATTTTGTACAATTGTTTGGCTTTTGCACCTGTTTACGAGCCAATTTTTATTTATTTGCGTTGTGTGATTTTATCATAACCCATGCGTTACACGCACTTGCATCAATCGTGCACTTTAACCGTAATCTAATAAAAGCACTGCATTGTAGCATAGTATTACATAGACGGAATGAGGCATTCATTAGTTTTTCAGAGGTTAAGCGAATGTATGATTTATTTAAATTATGAATAAATCTTCTCTAACCGTGCAATTCTAAGTTGTCACCACTTGAGTAAGTTTGGGTTAATTCGTAGCATATTCGCATCGACTCTAAATTTGTACGATTCATTCGGGCAATGACATCAAGGGAGATGTTACATGTTCATGAATTTTGATTTGTGGCACAAGCGTCGAATGGAATTGCGGTGGATTTGTTTTTCTTGCATCTATTTCCTTTTTTTCCTTTTTTTTGAATAACATTTCACTCAGTGGCTTTATTCCTTAAGATTTTATTCCTAAAAGTGTCCAAAACAGGTTCAACAAAGATATTTTGTATACCAATGCGATCGATCGTCTTTCACAATGCCATCAAAAATGCAAAATCTCCACAATCCCAACTTGTACATGTTGTCCCTAACCGAATCTACGTTGCAGTACAGCCGGTATTTCGATGCAGCGATGCCTGTGTGCCACTACATATATATACATTTCGTGGCTGGTTTTTTTGTGTCGGTGAACGAAAATTTTTTTATGGTCTATTTTCAACATCATTCTTTGGTTTTTTCGTTAAATTGATAAATACATTTTTATATGCATATAAATAAACGGGTCTCTTTATTCATGTTTTGTGTATTGAGCGTAAAATTAAATTCAAATTTCGCTTGCATTGGACGGAACATTTCGCATGAAACGTGTGCACTGCACTCTCAATTGCACACTCGAAATAAGTGTAATGCATAGTGCATGCACTTACACGTGTAATTATAAAAATATCTATAGGTTTTTCGGTTGATGTGATAAATGTTTTCTGTTAGCTCCATATAGCCACACAAATGTATGATGCCGTGTGCGCGTAAATCAACTTGGATCGTTTCGACTTTTTGCTCTTTTTTCGTCGATATTTTTTATATATGAGCGATTTTCTCGTTATTTTCGAAAATCCAGCGGATTTTCACATAATCTACGACGAATGTAATTTGTCGTCGATTTTCTTTTTCCTTCTCTCAAATTATTTGTCATTAACAATTTGTTTCCTTGCGAATAAACATATGAAATTTGGATTTTAGTTCATAGCTTTTATTCAATAATTTCGTATAACAAAATATGTTGAGAATGATTCTCAGCGGTGAAAATGGTTTAGAGCATTTGCAGTTTGGTTAACACAGTTAGTGCGATCATTGAATTACGTGTTTAAAATATAGAGAGAGAGACTAAAATTAATCAAGCGTGAATATTCGTTTTGCGACCAAGGGCCCTTAAACGATATCCAACAGTGCTTCGGTCAACATTCAATGCTCTGGCAAGCTCATCTTGAGTTTGACTCGAATCTTCATCGAGCAATGCCTCCAATTCCGCATCTTCAAACTTTTTTGGCTGGCCGGGACGTTCCTTGTCTTCCGTGCTAAAATCACCACTTTTGAACCGTGAAAACCACCGTTCACATGTACGTTCCGATGGAGCATGCTCACCATAGGCTTCCACCAACATTCGATGCGCTTCAGCCGCAGTTTTCTTCAAATGAAAGCAAAAAATTAATGCTTGCGGGAAATGTTGCTTTTTCGGTACAAAATTTGACATATTTAAGGCGCAAAAAAAAATGTTTATCCAAACTTCGATGAAATGATAGATGATGATTTTTGTAGTTTGACACTAGACCACTCATGTGAAGAAGAAAAAAGTATTGCCCGATACAACCATGCAAAGTTACGCCATCTTTTGAAAAATCGACACGATTAATTCCCAGAGAGACTTAAATTAATCAAGCGTGAATATTCGTTTTGCGATGTCGTCAATCATCCAGTCGATTGATGCTAAGAGCTTCTCGCCAGTTACAGCACTCACTCCCACGACGCTCCAATGATGCGTTTCAATTTTGTCCAATTCCAAAATCTGCGAGGGAAAAAGCAAATGAATTTCGTGTGTGATTAGTCAGAATGAAAAACAGCCGAAAATTCAACCATTGTCGGATTAGATTTTTAATGTAAAAATTCGATATTTCAACTTACATCTTTAATATCCTTAGATGATAAGGCACCAGGAACGTCTTGTTTGTTGGCCAAAACTAAGAGAGTGGCACCACTCAATCGCTCTTCTTGCAACAGATTATTTAATTCTTCTGTGTAATTTTCTAGTCGCATCTTATCCGCACGTTTTTATGTATATGTGTTCCAGGTTCACGTGTATTCCCACGGGAAAGAATTGAATAAATGGAAATTCAAACATTCGCCTCATTGGGCTCCAACGTTACGATCCTATTATATTCCTCATGGCGATAGAATCGCCATTTGTCGCCGCAACCTGCCCTGATTTCTTCATCCGTATCTCTAGTACGAAAAGTAAAACGTCTCAAAGACTCTAAATACGGCAACAAAGTTGGTAATGCGTTTCTAGTGTTTTGAATCGCTCTATCGAAAATAATTTCTTTTAAAAATGGTAGCACAGCCACCAAATCCTCTGTCACTAACACATTTTTGAGTAAACCATAACGTGTAAACGTTAATTTTTCAATCATCGGATTTTCATTGATAAAATTAATGAAAAACCCAGGAAATGTGTGAAAACAATCAATTTCGAACTCTTTCAACTCACTGAACGAAAAAGGAATTTTTGTCAGGCTAGGGGCATTTATGTTGCATAATGAATATCGAATTTTGAATTTTTTAACATTTGAAAAATGTATCGAATTGTCATATTCTTGGACTTTAAAGCTATGAATATAAAGACTTTCAATAGATTGTAGATAGTGTTCACTGAAGCTATTGAAGTTATTGAAATTGCATGTACCGATCTCCAAACTTCTTATATTTGGATTAAGTTGGAATATGGTAGCAAGATTATCAAAAACCAGGACACTGTGACAACGCAATTTTAAATCTTGTAAATTTGGAAAATACTCCGATAGAACTGAGAGTTTATCTTCAAGAAATCCATTTAAATGCAAGCGATTCATTTTTGGAAACAGCGAGCTCAAACATTTCTCTTCAAAATTAATTAAAGCGTGAATTGTTAAGTCTTCGACGTTTGAAAATGGTTTTTCGAGGTATTCAATTCCCCACCCCTCGTCTAATGAAACTTTTTTTAATGATTCAGCGCAAAATTCGTCTATGTAACTCACAAGGCGTTTATAGTTTTCGGAACTATTTTTTTTATAAAATGAAAAAAACCGCAAATTGAGCTCGGTTATCAGTCCACCGAAGCAACGTACCATTTGAAAACCCTTTTTTAGATCTACAATCACAATATCTTCATCTCCTGGGTGTTTCCGAATATCTGTATAAGACTCAAATATTATTATCCCCTTAACAGTGCTGTAATGTATTGTTTCCTCCTGATCAATCCTGACTGATTTCCCAGCATAGTTCCAAACGAATGGCATACGAGTGGCCGATTTAAGATATTTGTTGGAATCTGATACGTCAAGTAGGTCTTCCAAAGACAAATGAGCGAATATTTTTTCCAAGCAAAATTGGTTGAGGTCCGAGATTTTTATGTGATTATTTGAATCCGTGCTCTCATCGAGCCTTTTCTTCTTCTGCCCCGGTTGACCATCTACAGTTTCCGTGCACTCTTGTTCCAATTCACCTTTTGCATCAGCCATTTCAGCCATTTTAAATAAATAACAAAGAACTGCAAAGGGGAAATCTAGAAATCAATTATTTTCGAAATGTGTTGAATTATATATTATACCTACTCTCGAAAACACCAGGGAACAAAACTGAATCGAACTGAATGAAATAATTTGTCAAATAAACGGATTCTCTTCGAAAAACAATTGAAAGTCACTTGAGTACATTTCTCTTTCTTGATAGCTCGTTGACATTATTGTAATAGCACTGGTATATGTATTTGTCATATGTATACATAATACAATAGCATAGTACATATTAAGTATCATCTAAAATACTTAAACCACCGTTCAAAAGTCGTTCGAATTGTTTAATAAAAAACATCAATTTCCGTAATTAAAATTTAATAATATTATGTTTGATATGAAATTTCTTCGACCGGTTATATTTACCTAGATGTAAAAAAACAAATTTGTATCATTTATTTTCTAACGAATTTACCATCTATGGATTAAATTGGTATTATGCAGTTCACACAAACATTCTAGCAAATCCATTTTACTTATTAAGTAGTACTTGAAATTGAAATATTTTTGAAATCAAGAAGAACCATTATTTATATGGAACAAAAGAAAACTTCCCATACACACCCCATATGGTTCAACTATGGACTTGTGCGGAGATGCGTGGAGTTTTGTTATTGTCCAATTTAAAATTGATACGCAGCTAAGGGATAGAAATTCATACACAGCTAAAATCAAAATCCACAACAACAACAAAAATAAAACATTGCGAATAAACATATGAAATTTGGATTTTAGTTCATAGCTTTTATTCAATAATTTCGTATAACAAAATATGTTGAGAATGATTCTTAGCAGTGAAAATACTTTAGAGCATTTGCAGTTTGGTTAACACAGTTAGTGCGATCATTGAATTGCGTGTTATAAAAAAATAAAATATAGAGAGAGAGACTAAAATTAATCAAGCGTGAATATTCGTTTTGCGATGTCGTCAATCATCCAGTCGATTGATGCTAAGAGCTTCTCGCCAGTTACAGCACTCACTCCCACGACGCTCCAATGATGCGTTTCAATTTTGTCCAATTCCAAAATCTGCGAGGGAAAAAGCAAATGAATTTCGTGTGTGATTAGTCAGAATGAAAAACAGCCGAAAATTCAACCATTGTCGGATTAGATTTTTCATGTAAATATTCGATGTTTCAACTTACATCTTTAATATCCTTTGATGATAAGGCACCAGGAACGTCTTGTTTGTTGGCCAAAACTAAGAGAGTGGCACCACCCAATCGCTCTTCTTGCAACAGATTATTTAATTCTTCTCTGCAATTTTCTAGTCGCATCTTATCCGCACTGTCTACCACCCACACCAAACCATCTGTACTCTCGAAATAATTGCGCCAATAGGATCGCAATGACTTTTGCCCGCCGACATCCCAGAAGTTGAGTGTGTACCCGCGGTGCTCTAGTGTATTGATATTGAAGCCTAGCGTCGGTTCAATTGTGTCAATGTCTTCACCATTCAATCGCTTCAGGATGGTTGTTTTCCCAGCATTGTCCAGACCCCTGAATCGAAATGAATCATTCATTACTAAAAAATTGAACTTTCGGAAATTCTGACGACATAAAATGTCATCCAAGTGTCAGTCGGAATGTTTTCAACATTTCAAAGAGACTTAAGCATGAAAACTATCAGTTGGAATCCACAAAATTGATTTGATCCAAAGACAAACCCACAGATGGAATCGAACAATACAAATCTGTCGGCAATCGATGATGATCCCAACGAACACAGTTCTCTGCGAAATGTATTCTATTAAATATGATAATATCAATTGGACTTACAACAAAAGCACTCTCATCTCCTTCTCTTTTTGCCTCATTTTCTTCAACACTGTTAGAAAACCCATTGTAATGCACGAATGATTTGATTTATTTTCTCTTTGGAATCGTTGTTTTATTTACTATGTTTCATCAATAACCTCTTTGTCGGAACTGCGAATAAGCCAATGTTTGTCAGATGATTCAACTCTTTGGGTGCGTTTAATTCCATCACGGAACAGTCATTCCGTTTCGATTGGACAGAAGAAGATTTTTTGTAATATAAATAAAATATGAAACAAAAAAGAAAAATTGAAAGAATCAGAATTTAAATGCTTTGAATTTTATTAAATATTTTCACCGAAAATCATTCAATCGCCGAAAATGTGACCGTTAAACCGTGTGTACTAAAAACCAACATCCATTACTAAATCGTCACTGAACGCGCTCGGTCGCTTGCAATGACATCTTTTCGTGTGACATTTGCATGGCAGACGTAAAATCGAATGTGAAGTCTTCAAGCGAGAAAAATACGAGCCTCTACTTTCGATAATTTCCTAAGCAAAATGAATTCAATCAAGGTAATTGATTTTTTTTTTTGATAAAATTTCCAAATTAAACATTAAATCTCGTGGTTTAATTTACTGATCGATGGTCGAATTTCACGAAAAACTGAAAATACACTGTGTCCATTTCATCGATGCAAATATTTATGTTTTATCTTACGTAATATACGCAATTTAGCTGAGAAACGTGAATTTTGTTCGATTAAATTTTTTTATGTTATTTGTTTTTGTGAATCGTTTTGATAATTGTGTTGAATTTGCAGAGCGTTTGCCGTGTCGGCCAAATGTCGATTCGTAATATCCGCAATATGTCCGGCAAGAAACTTCCAACTGCTGCGGAGATTGAAGCTTCAAGAGAACTGCCAAAGGATCTTCATCCAATGTTCTACAAACTCAAAGCCGACCAGAAATTGTACCAAGTATGTTATCAACCATTCTCATTTAAAAAAATTCAAATCGGATTTTTCATTGATTTTTCTTTTGATCATCAAACAATTAATGAAAATAATTTTTTTTTTTCGATAATTCCAGAAACCGGACGGTATTCCAATTCACTTCAAACGTGGTGCCCGTGACAAGATTTTGTTCTACATTACCTGTGCTATGACTGCTGTTGGTTTAGCTAGCTGCGCCAAATTCGTCTACAGCTTACCTTAGATTTCCACATGGATCAGCATTGAAGTAGTCATTCTGTTATAATCTTAAATCCTTGAAAAACAGTGAAAATAAAGAAGATGCATTAAATACATACACAAACCCATGACAGGCCGTTTCTCTTTCTTTTCCATTGGCACAATGGAACATTGAATGAAATTCCATCACAAATTACAATAAAAGATGTATGAAAAATAGTTTTATTCATCTAATCAAACACAACAACAAGTTTAAGGCAAATTGAAATGCAAGGCTAGGCGCTGAGACTGTATATTTGGCCGAATTTTGTATCATTTTCTTCGAAAAATTTGGTTTTTTTGTTAAAATTATAGAAATTTTAGAAAAATGTAGAAATGTACATGTAAATGTTAGAAAACAGAAATCTTGACTTAAGAACAATGGCCTCAGTGCCCAGCTTCGGGAAGCAGACTTATGTTTCATTTCATTTATGCGTTGTACATGTAATCGAAAATTGCAACTGTTCCATGGTTAATGAGCAATGTCAATTGGACATTTAGTCCATGTATGAGTCAATGATTTTCAAAACACATTGTTTGGTTGTCTCTCGTTCCAAATCACACACCGTCCTCAGATCAATCTGCGATATTCTTTCAATCATCTCTTTGATCTTCTCTTTCTTGATGAGTTGTTTGATGTTTGATTTAATGCTCTGCTTATTGGCCGTCACTAAATCGGTTCGATCATTCTGTGACGCTTTGGTTACTTTCATTCGATAAAGACGTTCGATGAGTCGTTTTAGCTTCTGTTTTGTTTCTATTGTCGGTTTTTTCAATTCAGTTTCAACAATGATATTTTGTTCTTCATCATCTGATATGGCATTGTCCAGCGAGTCCAAAGGATCGTCTAGTTCTTCTGTAGCTTCTTTGTCACCATCGTCGTTCTCATTTTCCTCTTTACTATTCACAATTGGATCTTCAATAATTTCGCTCTCCTCTGTTTCTTCGGAATCCTCTAATTCCGTTTCTACGGTGTTTTCTGCATTCTCAATATCTTCGTTGTCGCCATTTTGAATATCATTAACCGATTTCTTATACACAACTTTGATTTTTGGTGGGACTATGCCAGGCTTTCGACGCAATATTATGATGCATGGACGTGTTTTTATTTTTATTGGAAACACCGATCGATACTCGACACCAATATTACTGAAACAATTGATGTTATCTAGAACATCGTGCGTGTTTCGAATATCCTCATTTTCATAAAAATAACGCCCCTTCTGTTCAACCAACAAATGGGTGAATGCAAGCAATTTTGGATTGTCTAGTTTCACATTTTCTTCTTTGTTGTAGCTGAACAAATTTGGAGCCGATTAGCAATTTCGTTTGGGAAAATAAATTTTAAAAAATTAATTCAATTCAAACTTTTTTAATTGCATTTTTTTAAACGTTTTCTTCACATTTTGAATGTTTTTCAATTTCATTTTAGCTTTTTTTTTTAATTTTTCTTCAGCAATGTATTGAAATTTGAAAAAAAGTATATAAAAAAAAACTCACATCCAAGATTTGTTAAGTTCAGTAAATCGTGTGACGCCGCTTTGTGCTGCCAAATTGCATATGTGTACCGAGGCCATATCGGTATTAGCTTCAATGCGATGCAATCTATTGAATAATGAATAATTTAATGTCAATTTTCATTAGGGTGTCGAATTCCAAATAAATCGTTTCATAATTCTTCGTTTATTTCCAAATTACCTCATGATAGCCATGCCACCTGGATAGTTGGTACCCGAAATGAGCAATAAAAACAGCGTTAACAATATGTTCAGGCAAATATGCCCAGCCGCGCCAAATGCAAGTAATTTTTGGAAAAGTGATTTGAATCGATTGTTCCACAGACGTTGGCACGCACAAGCGGCGGCAATATTCAGTAATGGGAATACATAAATAATGAAACGAAGTTCTTTATGCGGTAAAATCGAGTAGATTGTTACGAAAACGATCGATGGTATTACAATCTGTCGAATGCGTCTCTCGTAATACAGGCCAAATGGTACGAACAGCAGAGAAGCGCCCATTGACCGCGGCAGAGCCGAATAGAAGTACCATAGGAACGGTGAAACGCCATAGTCAGAGCTTCGATTCAGCACCGTATTAAACCACAACACTTCTCCTTCGGGCCAAAGCAGACGCTGCCAAAATATCGAATCAATCAAAATTGTCAACGCCAAACTGGACAGACCGGCTGGCACTGCATATTTCATTAATCTGGAGAAAAAAATGACACGAAATTATCAGATATTTTTCATGTTTAAAAGAATCATCAAAATGAACAAAATCTAATGATATTTCTGCAGTATCATTCTAAGCTGTGTATAAACATGAAGCGCCAGCAGATTTTCCTCCTAATTTTAAAATTTTCTTATTGGTTTTGTAAGTTATTGGGTTTGTGTCCATTTCATTACAGCTCACAAAGAAGGTCATTCGATTGGTCGAAATTCGAAATCGTTTATTCAATTTTTGTATGGATCAATTTTTCATATTTTTACACAACGAGTGGATTGAGTGTAGTGGTTCACTTGAATCCATTGGTGGTATTTGCATTTTTCTACTTAGCAATGGCCACAATTACCATTGTCTTTGTGATTCAGTGTTGGCATGCCAAAAAATTGGCTGCCCTAATGAACGAAACATGGATTTTATTCGAAGAATTGTTACCGTTTTGTCATTCGATTTCCACATGGCAATCCACCCGTTATGGAATTATGTTTGTTTGCAAGACCATTGTCACCAGTGGCACAGCTCAGATCGCTTCAATCAATTGCTGTGTGACTTTATGCAAAATAATGACCGGCAAAGTGGATTATTTCGTGATTTTTATCATTTCCGTTGCATATTTTTTGCAAACACTCGTTCCGAATATGTTTTATACATTCGTTTTGGGCGCTTCAATGCAATTCCATCAGTTAAATGAGGAAATTCGGAAGATTGCCGACAATGCCATTTTTCTCATGAAAAATACATATGAACGCAATTCGAATGAACGATTCCACAAATTAAGCCGACATTTGGATTATATTGCTACGCTCGATGGAAAATTAACAGTTCACACGAAGAAAGTTAACAAAATATTTGCATGGCAATTGCTCGTTGTAATTGCAAACTTTGTCGCTATTCTACTGATTGAGGTAAGTGTTCAATCGTTTTGCTTGTGGATGGACTGAGTAAATTCTAGGACGAATTTATGTCCAAAAAAATGTAGAAAAATATTATTGATTAAAGTATTGATATTTTGTTTCACTGGTGCAGCTCTTTTTCACATATCTCTTCATCGCTGAGGCTTATCAATCCGATAATCCAATCAATACATCTTTGATGGTTAACATTCTCATATATTGTGGAGCTGTTTTCATTGAGCTATATGTTTTGAATGCAGTTTGTTTGAACACTATGCTAAAGGTAATCGTTGTATTAGATGTAATGGATCTGACTGAGAACAGAATCCAATAATTTTAGACAGATTTGAATATATGATAACTAAATTTCAGTCCAATCATGGTGCCAATCTGCTGTATAGACTCTTGCCATTGGGAGTGCCGACGGAATATAAACGAAGTGTAAGTAGCAAATCAAGTGCTTTGGCGAAATTTTTCGATAAAAAAAAACTTTTTCATGCAGGTGGATTCGTTTTCACTTCAAACCAGAATTCATCCGTTGATTATCACGGCTCATGGGTTCTTTCCGTTGGACAATACTTCAACTTTTTCAGTAGGGTCAAAACAGTCAATCATTTCATTCATCTCGTTTTTCAATCTTCAACCTCATCTTCACTCATCTCGTTTCCTGTAACTGTAATCGTACTCAAAATATGCTTAACAAACTGTTCGCTTTTCAAGGCTTTAACAACAATTGCTGGCTATTTGCTGATATTAATTCAGTTCCAGTTGGCAAAAACGCGAACTCCCTACCAGGATAATAACAGTGTACTAAAATCGGTTTAAGCCGATACAATTGCACTCACTCTTTTATTGTGATGCGTTGAAATGAGATGTCATACAGAAGAAACAGGCCCAAAAGTATTGCCAATTCGGCTCGAAAGATGAGTATAGCTGCTGCAGATAAATAAATGAATAATGCCTTCTTTCGTTCCAGCCAATACGCAATTGCCAGCAACACTGTTACAAAATCAATTTCAAATCGTATTAGTTTTTTCATAATAAAATCACAATGAACAAAAGTTTTTGTAGCTCACCTAGAGGCAGAGCGAAGACATTAGGTAGCGTTCGGCTCATGTAGAACATGAAATGAAATTGTGTAATGGTGATCAATGTAAACCAAACGGAGAACAGAGAGCCAACAAGTCGTTGAACAACACGTTGCAGTTTGCACCATGACAACACTACACAGGTGGCCAACGCAAATCGAACTGAAAAATCATAAACAAACGTTACTCAATGTGTTTTTGGTGTAATAAAATGTGTTTGTGTACGTTACCTATGTACTGTGCCCAGAATTTATTTGCTTCGAAATGATGCAGAACGAAAACTAATGGGCTAGCCAGCGTGGAGATGAACAATGGGCCGAGAAAAGTGCGCGGCACAACACCCGGAAATTCATGATGATCGTACTGAAATTGCACAGAAACACGGTGATAAGTTGATCAAAGATTGAAATCAAAGCAAATGAAATGTGCCAGCATTACCTGTGATATATTCGTTCCATGATACAAAATGTCATGAATTGCTTGTATATTGAAACTTTCTTCGACTTTTGTGAATGGTGTGTAGAGAAGATGAACAATTGCAATGAAAAAGACTAGAACACCCATATGGCTGTGATAAAATGTAAATCGCTGGTCGTTAGGAATTTCGGTTTCACTATTTACTATCTCATTCGATTCAGTGGATGACACCTCAAACGTTTAGCCATATGAAATTCTCACTGGTTTTCCATTTGATGTTTGTTTCCTATTTTCACTGTAAATAGGAATTGAATTTTCGTGTTACGTTGCGTCAAACAAACCACGAAAACAAATTTTTAAATTGCTTACGTTTAATGTCTATCAATGATGACTCTTATTGCGAATGGGATTTGGTTTAAGTTTTAGTAAATTTGCCGGTAAAAATAATTCATATTCACAGGAAAAAAAAACAAAAAATTGCTCTCAATTTGTGTAGTTTGGCCAACAGAACGTTTGGTAATAATAGCCAGTTAAATTTAGAATGACAGACAGTCAAACGAACATACCGACTAAAATATTATGATCCTAGCGACTAAGAATGCATGTAGAACCAGCTCAAACAGCTGATTCCAATTTTGACAGAATACTCCGCCGAATTTGATGCGAAGTGAGCAACAGACCAAGTGCTCAAACAACAATTGAATGATGAACACCGTTTTTTTGTCCATTTGAATGATGAAATGTTGAAATTAGTTGCTTGTTTATGGCTTCTCATTTATCGCAGCAAATTTTTTATTCTCTTTTATTTTTCTTGATTTTTCAATAAATCTTGCATGAAAAATTATGTGTGCCATCTATACGTGGACTTATGAAGTTTTTATTAAATGCAGATTTTCTGGGAATTAATAATATCCTATGTGGTTGAATAGACATTATTGAACGAGTAGCCGTTGCATTATAAATATATTCTTGCGCATACTTTGCATTTTTGTATAGAATTTTGAGACGATTTTGTTATCATGAACATTTCATAGCACCCCTTGAATTGTCAAAGGCAATAATAGCTCAGACTTTGGAGTCAACCTAGCGTTTCGATTGAAGTAGGTTAAAAAGCATCTTTCCCGAAATTGCCAGGTCCATGCCCTATGATTTACAGTAAATCGACACATTGAATCAGTTAGGTCATACATATGAACTGCTGAGAATGAAAGGCTGACGATTGCAGGTTTTTCGCAAAAGCGGGATAAATATCAGTTGCACGCAAAAGAGACATTTCAAAAGGTTGCACGCAAGAGAGAAGTATATTGTTGTTGTAATCACGGCTTGAAAATTCGAAATGCGACAAAATAAAATGTTCCGTTTGCCTTTTGAAATGTCCCTTTTGCGTGCAACTGATTTTTATCCCGCTTTTGCGAAAAACTTGCAATCGTCAGCCTTTTATTCTCAGCAGTTCATATTATTCTATTAAATAAATGTCACTATCTAAGCGATACAAAAACTGTTTCAAACCAGTATCATCAATATTCATTTCCTCATATTCTTCAATAGAAAATTCCCACATCATTCGTGCTATGTCTAATTGATATTGTGTCACGTTCTTCTGCACACTGTATTCACATAAAACATCTTGCAGCTTTTTTGCAAATTCATACCAAATCGTCGATTCATTTAAATATTTCTTCAAAAAGTTTCTTCCAAGTAATGGAAAAAGTGTTGTAATTCAATGTGCTCCAAAAGCACCTTTAATTTATCAATCGATATGTCAATTCCTAATGAATTAATTGCATCGATGAGTTCTTTTCCAAAATTCTGTTCTGTTGAGCCAACTTGAGATATATTTTGATATGCAGTAGACATTTGGTTGTATGAATGTCTAAAATGCGTTTTTCTCTATTTAAATAAACATTTTGTATTTCACTACTGATCCTAGATACATCAATTAGAATTCGCTTTTGCATCTCTTTGATCAGCTCAGGCAAGTATTTTTTGACATTCTTAGAAATGTCGTACACAAAGTCAGTGTCTTCTTTTTCAATGAATATGATATTATTGCACAAAATGTTAGAAATGGCTTTTCTTTCATTCTGCAAGTATGATATGTCACTTACTGGTCCCGTTTGATTCGCCAAATGAAAATTCCCTATCCTTTCATATTTGTCATTTTCTTCTTCCAACAGTATATCTATTAATTTAATTTTATTGTCATTTGAATCATCAGATCTCTTTTCGTCTTCAAAATCTTGTTTCAATAAAATGAGTACGCTTACAATGCACTCAATCACACTTCTATCATCATCGTTACGATCATTTTCAACACTTTGGACCACTAATGCAACGCCGTCTCGAAACTTTTCCATGTCTCTGATGAGTGTGGTTATATAATGGAAGAGTATAATATTCAAAACCACTATTTTTTATCATCTATCAATTCTGAAATGCAGGATGATGAATATTTGTGGATTACATCATATCTGTCAACAAACATGTAGTCTAGCATGTAGTTTCCAGAATCATCGATAACTGCTTCCATGTCAGCCTCAGTTAAGAGTAAAACAAGCACAGTTTTATCGAGACCTGTGTCGCCTAGTACAAGCAAAAGTTCCTTCTGTTTGGCAAGAGGAAATCCTCTCGCACACTCATCGAGATATTCCAGTACCGAAGCTACTTGATCATTAAGATTTTTCTTGTTTTTCAACACTTTTTACAACATTTAATGAAACATTACTTATGAAATCAGATTTTGCTATGCACATAGCCAAAACCAACGAAAAAGATGAAATTATTTTCGTGATATTTATGTTGTTCATACTGTCTAAGCTATTATTGTTCCCTTTTACTATTTATATTTATAAATATATAAATCGGCATTATTCAAACGTTTTGTTCAAATGTAACTATTTGACCAACTGAATTCAATCTTTTAATTTATGTTTACACATTCTAAGACTCTGCGATTGGTTATCTGAAAAAATTTGAAATATTTGCTTTTTAGTTTTCTTCTCAAATGTTCCATTATTCTTTTCTAATAATTATTTTATTTTATTTTATTTTATTAAACACCGCCAAGCTCTGGCTGAATATAATGTGGGTTTTGATTGAGGTTTGGCAGGAAAAGAGTGCAAGACTGTTACATATTTAAAATAATAGACAATTTGTAGCAATAGGTTTCGATAACTATCAGTTCTCGCCTCGTTAAAAACCATGCTCTTTTCGTAAATTATGCGGTAATCACAATAGTAGGAACATGAAAACGAAAACAGTCATGCAACCAAGATGGAAATGCCTGATATTAGTCTATGCAAACGGTCCAAGATAACCTTTGGTAAACGTTTCCAAGGGACAAAGGCTATGTGAAGCGTTTAATTACGCGTTAATTTGAGACTCTAGGACAGCAAAAGTCGTCGCTCAATTTATACCGGTAGATAAATTGACGAGAAGTTTTACGTCTGTAAAGGCAGATCCATGTCGATTGCAGAGTGCATTGAGTTGACATGGACTAATGTTTGATGATTTTTACACAGATATGCCTTTTCAACATTTGGTAGGGATTAATAAATTTAAAACGGATATAGAAGACATACCAGACGGCACTGAAATCAATTATATGTTTCAACAACTGACCGAGTTTTCGGAAAATATGGGGTTAAATTTATTTTCATTAAAAAGATCCCCATCGAATATAGAAATACTGGACAAAATTACAATATTCAAAATCAATGTTCAAAATCGATTGCCACCATCAATGGGTTTTCCTTTTAATGCTGACTTTTTGAGAGATATAGTGGATGAAAGTAATGCAAGTGAACCAAGTGTCTATAATTTGAAAGTTTCTCTTTTTCGAAAACTAGAAGAAACCATTTTTGCATTTAGTCGGATTGTAACTGATGCAATGCAAGTTGAAAGTTTAAATATTGATAAATTGCGCGTTGAAAATGATATACAAGATGTGCGAATTGCTTTTCAACAAATAAATTCTAAGTACCAAGAAAATGGAGTGGATATTATTGGAAATATTGACAAACTTGATAAAGCAATAAATTTTATGACCCATTTATACGACCGTGTTGCTTTTTATAGAAATGAAATAAAATTGGTCACAAATGTAGCCAATATTGTATACGGTAAACAGCAACAAATAAATGACGATGAATTAAATGCCGCTATATTGAAATTGAAACATACTATCCACATGAATATTCTGCTTCAAAGCTATGAAGGTTTGATAAACGCATTTAAACAGCATTACCTTCCATTCGGTCATATATTTTTACGTAATATTGATTTACCAATAGAACTTCAATTGAATGACATCAAATCGTTATCAGAAAGAATTATTGAGCAAATAGATTATGTAAAAGAAAAAATTAAATTATCTGGCATATAAAAGTGACATATTTGACGATGTTGACTGTAATAGTGAGAGCATTATTGGTCCATTTTACACATGGAAAAATGATGAAATAAAAGATGATATCATTAAACTTTTACAAGGCGAAGAGGTTTTGATCACTGCAGATATAGCGAGTGGTGTAGATCAAAATGCCATAAAGTTCAATGAAATAGGTATCAAATTGAAAGGAGCCAACGGAAGTGCACAAGAACAATTGAACATTGAACTCGAAAATTTCGGTGTAACAATGACAATGGTAGGCAACAGCTACTATAGGTGTAATACGAAAATCTACTGCATACCAATTGGTGAAATTGGTAGTAATATTGTAATAGACTATTCGTATAAAAAACGTCCTGATGGAACACCATATATCAAAAACTCTATATACAAAACGATATATGAAAATAATTATTTTCTCAGTCCGTATACAACATGGAAAATAAAACTGAACAATTTCAACAGCGCTACTACACCCAATCAAAATGATGCATTCAAACGATTGAACAAATTTTCAGCAGAAATATTCGATCTTGAGTTAGTAGGCCGTGGTCAGTATTTTAGTAATGGACTACTTTCTCTAGAAGTGTGCGATGATGATTCAAAATCTTTTTATGATTCATGTAACGAAAGCACAATTTGAAGAAGAAGCTAAATTTTTGTATTCCGCCCATGTTATTTAATTAGGCTTTGAAGGCAACTGTATACAATTCAACCAGTTCATGTAAACTACCACTACTTTTTTCATTAATATCTTTCTTCAAAAATGTATAAAATGAAAAAAAAGGTTACTTGTTCTTATTCAAAGTTCTATTTATGCACGAAGAAAAATTTATTCACTTAGATAGCAAAATAAAGATGTGCCTGAATTTCACATTATTTTCAGAGTATCAATGCTTTTTGAGCAAATTGACTTATAAACTGAGTTCACGGGTTCATATATGCCAGGATTCAAGGAATACAATCCTGCAACTAGATTTTAGATAATTGACTTAAAAAAATTAAATAAATGGCACTTTCAACTGCAAGAAATATCAGAATTCTAATAGCTTTACATTAAAATTTTCAACCAAAAAAAAACTTTTCATTAAAAAGTAACATTAAATGTATAATTTATTAACTAAAATGTAAAAATCAATAAAGCTAATGTTTTGCATCACTTTATTTCTTTGAAATGAATATTTCATACCAGAAGAAGTAGAAATATACTTCTATGATTTTCAGCAAAGTTTCTAGTACTGTTCCGTTCACGTAA